TTGTGTAAAGTTTTTCAATTGTTGCTATATTCAACTGCAGATGTGCCTGTAAAACTGAAACCTTTCTGCTCTTGCAGCATCAGTTTCACTGTGGGGCAACCTTTAAAAAAAAGACTGAAAGACAGACCGGCTTTCCAGTCTGTCTCCCAGTCTGGCAGCAACGCCAACGTCCTTGTTGAAGTTGCGCTCAACAAGGACTGCAAAGCTACTAGACACAGGAATTCAGCTTTGAACTGCGTAACAGTGATATTTATAAAAGTGGAAAAAATACATCAAAAAATAAACACTGAAAAGAAAAAGATCTAATGTAAAACCCGATATCTTGAAAGGAAAACCCTTTCAAGATTGGGAGAGCTATTCCTTGAGACAATTCTCAGTAAATGATCTCATAGTTTGGCTTTTAGTGTGAAGAAAATAAGGTGTTTCAACTTCTTTGCACATGAAGAAAATAGGGCAACTGACAAATATAAAGAAAACTTCAACAAGGTATCAACATGGGCTCCTGCTTTGCTTAATTAAGCCAAGCAATACTCCTAATTTTAAAATATATTTTCACCCAGAGTCTAATCATTGGCACTGACCTCTTTCTTTCTTTACAGATTACCACAGGCACCCTGGCATGAAAGTCTGCTTCCACATTAAGAAAAAAAGCTGAAAAGAATTAAATAAATAAATAAATAAAAAATAAATAAAACAGAAGACATGAAATCAGATAATGCACATTAGTAGCGTGACAGTTTTTATTGTTATGGTGTGATTTTTCCGTTAGGGGACGGTTTGAAGAATAAGGTGACTTACGACTCACAGAGACGGCCTCCTTAACCACCAACAAGACATCTGGCTGATGCATCTGTGAATAAATTCCAATAAAGGCCCTTACACATCAATAAGAAATGAGATGAATGTGGGAAAATCTACAACCCAAAATAAGAATACATTTTCATGTGGCAAGATTAAAAAACAATTTACAAGACTAATGTGAAAATTATTCCATGTGTCACACATAGTGATAAAAAATGCATTTAAACTGTCAAATTCACAAACTCTAACTTACGTGAGGTGGGTACTGAACGTCAATGTTGACATCAGAGTCTTTAAATCCAAACTTTGTGCAAGATGAGCCATAAAGCCTGAGCCGTATTTCTGCAAGACGAGAAGATTTAAAAAAAAGACTCCAATAGAACTGTCACAAATTAGTCAATAGATTTAAATAGTGTGACCCGACAATCTGTGACATACAGGTCATTAGATAAAAAAATTTAGATTTCACCTGGGAGGACGGACAGTAGAACATCTTGCATGACAGAAACAACACTCTCTCTCTTCAAAACATCCTCGTCATTCATCCCATGCTCCTGGACAACTGCCTTTAGAGCTGCAGTCACTGCACTGATGTGCTCTGGACCAGGAGGCATGATCTCTGTTAGCATCAGCTGCTCCTGTTTCTCCTGTGAACACAAATAAAAACATACACAATGGTTTTCCAAAGGATTCAAACTCCTTTAACTTTATCACATTTTGTCAAACTACAGCCCCAAATATTATTAAAATTGCAAAATAATTCAAAATAATTTCTTACCCGAGCCCTCTTCTTATGCCGTTTGTCTCTGACGTGCTTGAAAGCATGAGATATAGATTCCAACGGAATATCACACAAAGCGCAGGTGTAAACTGCACCAGGATTGCCATGGGAATTCTGAAAAAAACCCAAGAGTCACTAGTACAATATTTTTGAACTCAACATATAAATAGTTTAAATATTGTGTATTTAACAGTTGGTACCTTCCTTAGTAAGTATATCTCTTCTCTCTTTAGTCTTTTCTCTGCTTGGCGTGCGTTTTGGAGGTCTTGAACTGAGACTCTGGCTTCCTCCATTTCAAGGCCTTTACTCTCTTCAGCAAAGCCTTTCTTCTTGTTTCTGTTTCTCCGTCTTCTTCCTTCAGAATAAGAAATTAAAGTCATTAATCCTTGATGTGTAAACATATCAGGAATGGTATGCAGGGAACTCTAACAGATTTAATATATAACCCCAATCCCAACAAAGTTGGCATGTTGTGTAAAACACAAATAAAAACAGAGCCTTTATTCCCTATTATGACACTCCCATGTTTTGAATGAACCTGTTCACTTCTGGAATGTTCCAAACAAATGTTTGCGTATTCCTTAACTTTTCAAATGTTTTGTTGCTTCTGTTCTGACTTTTTGGGAACATATTGCAGGGATCAAATTCCAAATGAGTTACTATTTTAAAAACCACAAAGTTTTCCGCTTGAATGTTTTAGGAACATTAAACAATGTTCCTAAAACATTTTAGGAAAATCTTGTGTTTGCAGGAATTGAATATAAGTAAAAAGATTTGCATATCACTGTATTTTGTTTTTATTATGCTTCACCAAACATCACAACTTCATTGGAACAATGTGATTACCACGTTTGAACAAATTTTAGTTTTAGTTTGTATTCTTCTTTTGTCACACATAATTTTTCAAAAGATCTCACCAGGTTTATGAGCGATGTCATCTGTGTACTCTCTCATTCCGCACTCATTTGAACTTTCTCCCTCGTTTCTCCTCCTCCAGTCGTGCTGCTGTGACTGTCCTCTCCAAATTTCCTCTTGACTGAAATCATTGTTCACTGAACTCCATCGGAGGTCGTCTCTCTGAGAGGGGCTCTGACCACCTCTGAATCCACCAGGCGAGTAGCCCAGGGGTCCCAGGCCTCCCTTCTTGGGACTTGCATTGTAGGGACCACCCTGGCTCTTCTTGCCGTGCTGACCTTCCTCCGATCGTGAGCTATGTCCACGAATCTGGTCCTGCATTTTCCAATTTTCTCCCTTGTCTGATGCTGTAGTTCCCTTCTCCCTGTTTTTTTGTTTAGACCTATAGGGTTTGCTTGAGTTTTCCATGATTTACTTTTGCTGTAACTGCAGGATGACATGTAATTGTAATTTAGAATTGTTTTTTTGAATTGTCCAAGGTGTAAAGAATGTAAGAATAAACAACAGCATTCAAATAAAAGCTGTACTATACAATTCTGGAACTCTTTTCAAATAAAACAGTGCAAAAAACACAACAGAACAAAAATAACACAGACAATTCAAATGACCCACATGAATTGTGTTAGTAGTCCAGCAGTAGCTATGGAAACTTGTAACTATTTTGTTTTTAGCAATTTTAGTCATTTTGAGAGATTGTTTTGCAACAGTATTTCTGTAATAAAAAAAGTTAAATAAAAGCTTTTCAACCATATTCAAACCCTCCGACTTTTAATGCAAATTCTTTCTGAGGAAAACAAATAATTTAAAACGAAACAACCAGCATTAATAGTTCTTCAGTCAGAATCCACACGACTAAAACTATATATATCCGCTTCAAATCGGTGTTTGTACTCTTATCAGCTTGTTTTCTGACTTTTAACCTCTACCTTTTATTGTTAGATATTGACAAGAGTAGACATTTTATTCGACGGGAAGAATGTCGAAAACAAAATTAACGGAGACATAAAACTATAAGAGTAAAACATAGAACCAACAAACATTAAGGCTGCTATTTTCGGATGGACTTCTATTAGGCAACACGGCTCAATGTACGTGGCTAACTGAGTCATTTACCAATGACTGCCAGGTTTTTTTTTTAGCTAAAGTTAGCAGCATCTGTAGCATGAATTCCCGCTCCCACGTCCACGAGTTAAACCACACCAATTACGAACGTCACCAACAAATAACATAAATGCTGGATAATCTGAGAGAGCTCACCGCCGCGTCGTAGCATAGCTAATGCTAGCTGCTAATATTTAGCTTGCCACTTAGGATAGCTGCACAGTTAGCCCAGATGCTAATGTTACGTTTTGTGGTTGCGTTTTCTTTCCGTCGGTAGCTGTGGTCTATGAAGCCTTTTGTTACGAGACAGATACAAGAGAACACGTTGTTAAAATGCGTTATATTCGTGGACATGATACATACTTGTCGGGTTGTTCATGTTGTCTTACTGTTGAGTTTGAAAGATGACGTAAAGGACGAGGACAGGCTTTTTTTATGAGCATTAAAGTCACACAGTTCCAAATAAAATATTCATGTCTTGAAAGATAAATGGCCCCCAATATACTATAAAATAAAACAAAAGATGAACGCTGCAATAAAAATGGGAAATAAATATGACGACATTGATTAAAACACATTAAATTAGGTAAATCATGACATAAAAAGAAGAGCAACAAAAGAACTTATTGCACATGTAAGATCATGAGCCGCAAGTTAAAACAGGTTTTCGTCAAAGAAATACATTTATTGTAACTTGAATTACATTGCAATAAAGAAGGAAGTCACTAGAGAAACAGTACAATGATAGTGCAAGTAAAATAAAGCAGAACCTGGAAGTACTAAAGAAGGATATATTTTTGCAGGAAATAAAACTATAAAATGAAAATTGAATGACTGTAATATTGAAACAAAATATCATACACAGTAAGAATAATGCTGATAAATAAAATATAACAGAAAAATTATGGAAGACAACAATAACAGCAGTGCAATATCGAAAATTTAGAACCAGCAATTAGTCAAGCCATTAATTAAATTAAATACAATTAAAATTCTTAAAACTGGACACTATTATATTCTGCTTGGCCTTTACTCAGTTGTTCAGTCCTCAAAAGTTGATTATTTCACATTTTCAAATGAGTAACCAACGTGCGATGGCAGTTTTAGGTGAAACTCCTGTTAAATATACACATTTACACTTTATGAAATGAACTTTGTTCTTCATGTGACCTGTGAATAAGTATATTTTTATTGTCTATTTGTTTTGTCTTGCAGAATAAGTCTAAAAGCAACAGCTGCTCTAGAATTGCCACATGGTAAAGGTTTGTTAATTATGGGATGGTGAGACTGAGCTCCCGTTGCCTTAGCAACGGAAGAAAGCCCAGACCCAAGAGCGGGGACTACCCCGGGAAAAGTGACGTCACTACGCGGCACCACTCTCCATGGAGCATCGAGCTCGGTGAGAAGTTTATACGCAAAAGCATACACAGGTAGACATGGTGTCATTTAGAAAGGACGATTCAGTTTGCGACATGTTTTGTGAAAGAAGACTCACGCCGCCCCAGCAGACTGCTCGGCACAGAAAGCAGAGACTTTTGTCCAAACTGGGAGACTCTGGATTCGAGGACGATCTGGTTTCCTCTCCCATTCCGCCCCGTTGTCGGACGGATGCATCCCAACTGGAGTCAGAAGAACCAGAGTCCGGCGATGGACAGCTGTCCCACTGGTACCTTCAGTACGGAGACGTCGGTTTCAGGATCCAGAGGGAGAAAGAGGCGCAGTTTCATCCCTGCCAAAGCCTGGCACGTCAACCACAAGTAGGCCAACAGAAATTCAGCCTATTTACAGTAGATCACTCAGGATCAAAAATACATAACTGACTAGTTTGAACACATGCAGGAATATGCATTAGCTTTATAATGTCAAACCCGCTCACAGAATATGTAGCATCTATGTTTCAAGGTAAACATGGATTTCTGATGGTTTGTCTTTAGATTTTAATTTCACTTTGACACCCAAACAGAAATATAAATGTTCCAAATAGAACGTATAGCTAAAACATCTCATAAACAAATACAGCTTTTCAAAGTCAGACATTTTGCTGGATGATAACTTTTTCCAGAAGATATTGCAATAAATGATAATATTGTTGTTTTGAGACAATTTTCAAGTAAAATTGTGGTACTGGAAAAATGATAATTCATTAGCACATTTCTATTTATTGCAAACTCTAAATGGCATTTAACACTGGTGAGCGTGGTACAATCAGTTTTTAGATTTAAAAGGCATTTAGTGCTTTGGAATCTACAGAATCAGATTGACTTAGATTATTTTTTCCCTGAAACGTGTGAAAAATGAACAACAACAAAAAATTCATAAGGGGAAAATATTTTTTCATACAGTATGACTTGGGTCAGCTTTCTGATGATTCTTTACTCTGCCTGCAGCTGACTGCAGATGCACGCTGTAAGCTGGTGAGCTGGCTCATCCCCGTCCATAAACTCTTCCGTCTGTCCTTTGAGTGCTGCTGCCTGACAGTGAACATCATGGACAGGTTCCTGGCGTCCACTCCAGTGGCCACAGACTGCTTCCAGCTCCTGGGTGTCACTGCTCTCCTCTTAGCCAGTAAACAGGTCAGTCTTTAGTGAAATCTTTCAGAGGCAGATCCCTCTGACTCCATTCAGATGTTCCCCATCTCTTTTTTGTCTCTACAGGTGGAGGTACGCTCGCCATCGGTCAGCTATCTCTTGTCTCTGTGCTGTGATGCTTTCACCAAGGAGCAGTTCTGCAACCTGGAGTGCCTCGTCCTGCTTCGCCTTAACTTTCGCCTCGCCTCGCCCACCCTGGCCTTCTTCCTGGATTACTTCAGCAATCTTGTCAAGGCTGCCAAGTTTGTGATTAAGAACAATATCAGTGACGGCTTCTCAGCAGTGAGTTCAGAGATAGCAAAGATCAGAAAGTGCCGTGAGCTTGCAGAAAACGTATGTGAGTTGACTCTAGCAGACTATGCTTTCAATAAATACCCACCATCTCTGATTGCTTGCTGTGCCTTGAGACTTGCATGTGAATTATTGAGAACCGAACACTGCTTTGCAGACCAGGCAGCCGTAGAGTTGGTGGAAAACCAATGGGAATGTTTCAGTGGAGATCCATATATGCAGCCAGTTTGTATCCAGTCATGTGAAAGCTCTACCTTTAGTCCAGGTTTGACAGTGGAGGCGACTTCAGATCAGGACTGCAGTCTGGTGCAGGAATGCAAAGACAACCTAAAGATGTTGGTGTCACTGAATCAGGAGACTTTAAAAGTGATGCCATGAAAATAAAACATCAAAAAGCTGGTTTAATTTTTTTTCTTAGTTTATTATGATGTGTGTGAGAAGCAGTGCATGATGATGATATGTTTTTGTAGACGTGAGCTGCATAAATCCTTCATGAACAGTCATATGTTTGCAACCACTAAAGGTTAACTTAGTATTATATTTTATTTATTTGTCTTTCTACTTACACATTTCTGTAATCTCTTTAGGGTTTTGAAACATTGTATCTTATTTATTAATTGTTTTAAGTAATAAAGTGTATGAAAAAATTGTTGACTTTTACTTTATTGTGATGCAGCAATCGTACAAAGTATTGATTTAGAGTTGCTGAACATATAAGAACTGGACATTTAAAAAAATAAATAAATGAAAAATCCTTCAATTTTATCATTTCTAGGTAGCTCATAAATTCACCATCAAATACATTTAAGTTGATTGTAATATTTGAAAAAAGCTAATGGGGTTATTTATACATTTATCTTGTGCACTTTTCATAAAAAATCTCATACTTGTCACACATTCACATTCTGTTGAAGTTAAGAATAAGACATAACTTCTGCCAATCGCTGCTATTTCCACTGACCACTGCGCTGAAAGAAAGCAGAAAACCAAAACTATAGAAATGGATCCAATCACCGCCAGTCGATGACATGTCAGGAAAACACCACAGATCAATTAAAATGTGTCAATCTGATACAGAATAAAATCATTAATCTATTCCACACGGACACACATCTCCTGAAAGCCAATGAACATGAGACAGGGGACCTTTCGATCCATCTCAATAGCATGGCACGCACTGCCAGAAGAGAACCACCCCGTATGATCCTCCATGTGACTTTGCTGATAGGGTTGCAAGGAATCAAATACTATATAAATTGGAGCTGAAAGAAAATTAAAACTAGTGAAAAGGACCATAATCATCTCTCTTTCAACCAGATTGCGCATGACAAGACTAACACAAATCTTACAAGGGTCATGTAATAATGGTTGGGTCTTACCTGGAGTGACCAACACAGAAAATAAACACTTTTCTAAAAGTAGTGATTCCTGAGGCTATTGTTCCCTGAAGGTCAACACTTCATCGTTTTTGTTAGCAGCAGTATTTAGAGACAAACTATGCCAACACAGCCCAGGCAATTTCGCGGCTTTATCTGCTAATCCATTACGCGTGGCAGCTCGGCCACACAGGTGCATAAAGACCAGTTGACATCCCCCTGTTTGTTTACTAATTGAGGCATTTGTCACAAGTGTTTACTGAACTCTCTACTCCGAGAGATTTTTTTTCCTTTTCCACTTTTCTTTTCGAGGGCAGCGAGCTTTGGTGTTAATAAAAGATATTTTACGCAAATGGATTGAAATTACGCATGTTACGCAAATTAAGCATGTTATTAAAATAAATATGTACGGACGCCACATGTTCATCTTTTGTTCAGCCTATACACAATCTCTATAAAATGTATTGACTCTTACAGTAAATATTCACTATGCGTTTGTGTGTGTAATTTGCATAATTACAATGAGACCTGATTGCTTCGGGATGTTGCTGCGGTGCGCACCTGCTGGCGCTGCGATGGCGCCGTTCTGCGCGGCACCGTTTCCCAGTTTTAAACAGAAAACCCCATACTGCACTAATTTCATCTCCGAGGACGCCGACACTCCCTAGAGACCGAACTAGTGAATTTGATTGGGCCAGGAAAGGGAAACCGCGGCACACAGAGACACAAACCGGGAGAAAGTCGACTATATCAGCTCCAAATCTGAATCATGTCCCTGTCAGTTTCTGATGGATGGAGCTGATGATGGAGACGCAAAAAGAAGGGAACGCTTTCGGTGCTGCTTGGCCCAACAGACTGGGACAGGGCAGGGGGAAAGCAATTGTAAGCAAGTTCTCTCTCTCTCTGCAAAGTGCAATGTGCAAATGAATGAAAACTTTCATGACAGGCGCTGTTCCTGCAGGATAAACTCCAGGTTCCAAGATGCAGCAGTCCTGTTAGTGTTTATGTTGAATTTCCCCGCTTTGCTTGCAAAGGTAAACCACCAATATTGTGACTGAACTCCAAATACTAGGTTTAGGTTCTTTTTTACAATATCGTTATCTTTTAGGTTTTGCAACAATTGATTGGGGGGATTTGGAGGACTGTACATCTGCTGTGGAGCAGGAGAGAAACTCATTCGTCTGTCAGGTGAGAATAAAATCATCTTAAACAACAAAATCACAGGAATTGTGTTTGATCTGGTTGCAATGCTGACTCTTGGTTTAGTTTCACAATTGATACAAAACCAACACCGATATTTATTTGGTAAGACAGTCTGAGCCCCCCTCTGTTAATGTTTGACTTTGGGAATCCTTCTCAAATGGGATTGTAGTTTACACATGACAGGCAGGCTACTAAACACTAGCACCACCTGAAGTTTCCTTCCACACACTGCCTCTCTGCACAACATTACACATCTGAAATGACCACCAAGATTCACTCCTGGAGCTCTACTTTGATTTGGTGGGATTATCAGGTACAGTTGTCATGGTTTCTTTGTGGTTTTAGTTACCAAAACACATCATGTTGATAATCAGCTTTATCTCGTCACAGGTGAACGAGTCTGATATAGACGAGCAGCATTATGGAGATTATGCAATGGATTTCATCACAGGTGAGGGAGCTAACTTCTGGGAAAGAAATGACTTCTACTCACCCTTCCTCCAAACTCCTGCTCATTATTTCCTTGGTGATCTTTCTCTTCTCTCAGATTCCACTGCTGCAGGAGACAGTTGTCTGTCTGAACTTCTCCCATTTCAGGGATGTGTTATACCCCCTCTAACTCCTCAGAGGGATTTCTCTCCAGAGGACAGCATGGTTCAATCCTCCACAGAAAAAACAGAGGATGGAGATTCATGGAGGAGTGTTGCAGAGCACCAGGGGAGGGCTCTTGGAGACTCAATGGCCATCAACAAACAGGTAAAACATAATCTTAGGATTGTTTGTGTCCCTGCAGATTTGACTCAACTTTATGTGATGCAAATGACAAAGCAAAATTTGTGTCCATCATATTATTTAGTGGGGCAAAATATTGAATATTTCAGCATACATTTTTAAATATGTTTTTAAAACACAGTATAGAGGACATCCAAAAGCAGACAGCATAACTGAAAACATCTTGTAACTTCTGTCTGCAGCTCCAGGAGAGTCTTCACAAGCGACAACAAGAACTGAATTCTCTTCAGGAAAGAAACCTGTACCTCAAGCAACTGGCGAGTCGAGCAAAACACCTCGCCTCAGTCCTTGAAGTGAGTAAACAAGCTCAAAATTCATCTTTTTATTTTCAGGAACCAGGGTAGTTTTTATGGGTCATCCCCCCACCCCCCTGGCATTTCCAATGCAGGAACCAACAACAAATCAGATAAATGCAGGTAAAAATCTGTCCTAAAAAAACATTCCTAGTATGAAGGAAAGACCTTTCAGATTGACCCTGAGGAAGAGGTGGAGCTTTATAAGGGTCCTGAATAGTTCATAGAGTTGAATAGTTACAGCATTTTGTCTCAGTCATGTTTATATGGAATGCAAAGTATTATATAAAAAAATAAAAAAATGCATATTTATATAGTTGATGAGTGTGAACTTCTTTTAGAGACTCATGACAGTCAGAGATTCTCATGCTGGAGAACCGAAGGTACCAACCTCTGAAAACACATCTCTGAGTCCCTGCAAGAGGCAGCGTCTGGATGAAGGTTATGAAACAGAGTCCTCTGACTCGGTGGAGGACATGCTGAGGGACATCAGCACACGTTGCAATGCTGTGCTGCTCAACAGCGCTGCAGGATCACCACAGGAGTCCGAGACGATACGCATGTATGGCGCATTCTCAAGTTTGCATATGTCCACTCCTAATAACAGCAGCACTGTGAATGTTGATGCACCAGAGGCTGCAGAAGATGTCTCATCCTTCAGGACCTCCGTCAGAGAACACTGCACCATTCGGACTCAGGTGTTTCCTCATGGGCATGCGTTTACATCAAGGACCCTGCAGGGGGGGTACCGTTTCCGCTGGGTTCCTAACCGCAGCTGAAATGAGAGACTGCCACTGGGGCTCTTGTGATGAAGGTGCCATAAATCTGAGAGAAGTGGGTGGGCTGCAGCGGTTAATGCTTAACTTCTAGTCTATTGTGGTATCTGTGAATTATTAAATGATATCTTCCTCAGGTAGCTTGTGAGCTAATCAGACAAAAGTGGTGCTTTAAGGAAATAAGACCTCCCTCTCTGCTGTTCACATTCTGTTTTTGTTTACATGCCTAAAGATATGAGGAATTTTGAATTCATTGCATTTTTTGTTGGAAAATATATATTTTACAAGCCTTGAAGTAAACTTCTTTTTGCTTCAACTTTGGAGAAAAACTTGCATTTTTTTTTCCACACTTGAGCACATATAAAAATGTGAAATACAACAAATGTTTAATCAGTTACGAGAAACCTTTTACTGTAAAATCCTCTTGTTTGAGCAAAGAAACAAATTAAACCTTATGACCTGCCTTAATATGCAGAGGCTTCCTTGATTTTTGTCTGAATCTGATTGCATGAGAAAAGGCCCTGAGCCCTGGTCCTTTACAGCCATCTTCCTTGACTATTGCCTTGAAATATGAACAGGTTTTGTTTTTACCGTTTATATGCTCAATAAGGCTGTTACTTCAACTTGCTAAATGCTGTATTGGAGGAGAAGTCCCCAAACCTCTTCTATATTTAAACATTCATAAAAATAAATGACAATGGAAAATGGAAAATAAAATCAGCATAGCAGTAAAGCTGAAAAGAGAACGTTGAGCCCAGGCAAGATACTCCGGACAGTGGACATTGTTTTTGGTTCGGTGCTCTGCACAAGGCATGGGTGGAGTGTCTTTCTACCATACATTTTCCTTCCACTCAACTTTCTAATAATAAGCTTGGATGGAGCATATTGTACAGCCATTGCTTGTTGGGGCTTATGTCACATTAGAGGTTATTGAACAATTGTCAAGTCTAAATTTGGTTTTGGGCTTTCATCCTATGTAAGGAATTATAAAATGTAACTATGGAGACGTTTCAAATGTATGACTCTTTGTGTGAATCGATTTTATGACATGAGCTTTGCTTTCGCATTTAATTACTTGAATAAATTAACCTTCAGTGATATTCTAAAGAGCTGAAAAGTCATGAAGCTCGCTGTGAAACCAATGACTGCCACCGAATAAAAAGGCATCCGGGGAGCAAGCATTGTTTGAGCCGATTGGAGCAAATTTGACCGGTTCAGCGGCCGCCAAACTGAAGAAGAAAAAAAAAATCTGAGAGGCAGAGTGGGTTTCTTAGGTGAATAAAGGGAGGAGGCTGCAAATGAAAGTCGCGGGAAAGAGGATTGGAGAAAAAAAACCAAAACTGTTCCTTAGGTGTTCAAGACTCAGGGTCAAAATGAAAGATTGTCTTTTAAAAAGTGTTCGGGAAGCATGCCTGCAAAAAAAAATTTATAAAAAGAGAAATAAATAAACATAACAGAATAGAGATTTCAACCAATCAGTTAGAGAACAAGTAGTGACTTTAATTAAAGTGTCAGATTGTCGAATCAAAAAGCAAAGGTGTGTTAAACTGGAGCTGCAGACGCAACATCCCGCCTCCCCGCCCACCTGTCGCGCTCTTCCAGGCTCGAGCTCGCGCTGTTTAAGGCCCATATGGAGGCAGCAGGTGGCGAGAACGTGCGCATCGCTCGCGCCGTTCAGCTCACTTAGCGCCACAACAGCAGCTCGTTACCAAACGCTGTGAACCGCGCGACAGTTATGTTTTCTAGCTGCCTGCCAGGCAGCCAGATTTATTTCAATCAGGTCAAATTTTCTGCCAGGAATATTAATAGTTTTATTAATAGTTTTGCAGAGATCGTGCAAAACAGAAAAAGTAGTGATTGCACTTCAAGATATTTATATTCAGTAGTTCTTTAAAAAAAAAAAAAAGAAATATATGTAAATAAAAAAATATGTAAATAAAGCTATTATTTAAGGATATTGCAAACATTTTCAAAGCGATTCCTTCCTCTACATTTCTTGTCTTATGCCAGTGTACTGAAAATAATAACAATCTAAAAATATGTGTGGTTTTTCTGTTTTTATACAAAAAAAGAGCATTTTGACGCACAACTAATCACCACTGAATCTACACTAACACAACTCTAACACGCACAACTGGACTTAACGACTCTGCTCGCTTGTTCAGTTGTAACAAAAGAAAACAAATATTAAATTAGAAAATAGTCAAATGATTCCCAGATCCTTTTTGGTAAATGATATCAAATTAAGATAGCAAATCCAGGTGTGTAGCCTAATTCATTTTCAGGTTTAGAGTCTTTATGTTGGGCCAACAGCCCGCTGCCACCTCATCTTTTAAAGCTTTACCGCGTTGCTGTTTTGCTTTACTTTGTCTACTTAGTTGTTGCACTGGAAACAAGGATGCAAAACTCATCACTAGACAAGCCACTTAAAGTAAAAAAAAAAAAAAAAAAACAGGAGCAGGCCTCCAATGGCAGAGCAGAAGACGCAGATTCCCGCTCTGCTGTCCGCCCTGCAGGAGTATTTAGGAGGGGAGTCCGAGCAGGAGAGGCACGTATGGCCCGGGTCTCAGCGGTGGTCAGGGGCTAAAAATGATCTCTGTAGATGGGGGGACAATTCACATAGACGTTCAAATAAGTAGGTAAGTAGATCAAATTATGGTGGTGGTGTTGCCCGTCTGTGTATTTCTTTGTTTAATCTGTTGTTGCTGCTGTTGCTCCAAGGCAACACATGCAAACTTTCCACAAATCACAGTCCATTCCTGGTTCTTCTGCATTAGACACTTTTCAATTCTTTTCTCATTAGCTTTCAGTCTTGTTAGACCTTCTTACTGATCAACTTTGCAAAAACTCGTTTTGTTTTGAATTATGAGCTCAATTGTTTAATTTCTCCTCTTTATCAGGAGGATGCTTTAATGAGGATAAGATGACCTTCTCCCAAGGTAAGATGAAAACTCTTTGTCCAAATGAAATCAGAATCTCTCTGATTTCTGGATTAAAGATCTGAGATGCAGGTGACAGTGTGGCTATAGATTTGATTGTGTGCAGCTGCACCCCCCAACCCACTGATGCTATCAAGATAACCTTTAGAAATACCTGCTTCTGAAGCTGGGCTGCAAAATGTGTTTGGTGCAGAAGACCTTTTAGTTGTGACTGGTATGGAGGCAGTGTAATGTTAGCTGACGAGTTCTCTTTCAGCTCACAGCGCTCTGCTACCATAACGGTTATATTTACGCTCAACTTGTAAATGTTGGAGGACTTTTTGTATAAATATCTTAACGGAAAAGGATCTCTGGTGCTTCTTAGCTGGTTTGTAGGCAGTGTCTCGTAAGCTGGTGGGGTCGTCAGGTGCCAGCTTACCTGCTGCTGCACTCAAACTGTCAGAGAAATCCACAGCAGCTTGACCTTGTGAGATACTCAATACAGAGAAATCATTGCAATATAAAAAAAAGTATGAATATGAAGGTTGGTCCTCTTTCAGTTATTGGTTTCTAGGTGCTAAGAATTATGGTGTACAATAATCTAAGCATATTTATATACCTATACTGAAATGTACAAAAACCACACAGCACTCATTATTAATAAACATAATGTCAAAGTTGTGTGTAGAAGACAAAGTTGTTGCTCCTACTGCATTTGCAAAGTAGCTTCATCTCACTCTAGATGCTAAAGGCTTGTTTGCCTCTGTATAATAAAAACAGCATAAAGACATAATGTAGCATCTGAACCATAAGACTCATTAAAAAATGAGAAATGGACACTATCAACTTTAGAGAAAACATCAATTCATCCACCCACTTGTCTGTGCGCAGTGGGGCTTTCTATCCGCAGAGATCACTAAGCATGAGAACATGAAAACTCCATGTAGAAAAGCTGTAGGTGAGGATTTGAAAAGTCGTTGGAGAAAATAACTGATGATCTTGAGGTACATTATTTTATTGTTAAAAGGATGAGATACAGTTGAAAGGATGAGATCAGACACTAAAAGGTGAAAAGGCAGGCTTCATCTTAAAAACAAGATTGTAAACTTTAGAAAATTACTTTAAGAAGCACAACATAGAGATTTTTTTTTATTTATTTAAAAACCCAACACTGAGGGCTTTACAACCTTTTATCTTCAGTGGTTACTGTCCGATAAAATGGCCAACACTCAAATAAAACCCTTCCAACACTTCTTTCTGGAGCAACAGATCTCTCACATGCCCTCTGCTGACACTTCAGTCATTCCAGGCTTTACCAGCACGGCTTCATTTGACACAAAGTGGCAAAATGTCCCATATCTACCAAGCATTTGCCATCATAGCTCCCCACGTTTCCTTATGATGATTTCTCGCACCAGTGCTGTGACCTCTTTTCGGACGCTCTCCATGGATTCGTCTGTTCTCCAGAACCGGATCACTTTTCCTTCCTGATTCACGAGAAACTTCCAGAAATTCCACTTTGGTATTTTCTGAACAGAATCTAAAAAGAAAGGAAAAAAATTTAGTTTGATTGGATTATTTTTTGAAAATTATAATGACATCCCAAAACAGCAATACAACAAAAGAAAAATCAACATATAAATGTATTTACTATAAACAAATATAATTTTCTAACAATGTAACTATGCAAATACAAGAGCATTTCTATATTTGTGCATAGTTTTTTTTTTTTTTTTTTACATCGCTTTAAATGTGTGTTGAGCTTTTCTGGTGAAACAATACACACATGTTTACCTTTAAACACTTATAACTGATGAGAATGTCATTCACTTAAGATTGGATTATCATGATTTCATCCACTTTGTGAAACATGCTATTCTATTACCACTGGCAGCAAAAACATCATGATGATGCTTTCAATGCCATGTTCAAAAGTTTGTTCAGTGCTAACAAGGTATGAAAGTCTAATCTTAGCTTCTCCAAACATTGACCTTTGTTATTGTTTAGACATAGCTGGTTCTCCTACCACCATAATGTTTTTCTTTGAAAAACACGTGGAGCAATCAAAACTAGTTCTGACAGGTTCATAATAGCCTTCTTGGATTTTCTTCATATTAGCATTCACTTCAGTTTCAACCCTAAAGACTTCACTTAAGAGTCTGAGTCTCTGCCAGCAAACAAGTCAATAAAATTGACTTGCAGTGGTAAAACATCCAGTCAGAATTTTGCTGAAAGATTGTTGATGTCTAGAAAACAGTTATACTTTAAGCTAATATTTATCCAAATATTAGTGCTGCTGTCTATATCTTTCTGAATTCTTTTTATGTTTTAAAAATGACCCATTATAATAAAAAAATAACCAAAAACTGTCTTTTCTGGGTAAAACTCCATCAAGACCCTACAGAACCCTTTCATTATTTAAATGTCTGATTGATTTTATCCTACACAGATAAAATCATAGAAATGATTTTAGAAAGTTTTAGAAAGTTTAGAGAAATATCCACACTAAATTCAAGCATAATATTAATTATATAACCACTACCCCCTGAAAAAGTAATCAATTAAAGTCAGCAATTGTTGTCCGAAATTGTTAATATGCAACAGGACATTGTTTTCCTGCAGACCTGTGAGGAACCTGAAGGCAGGCTCAGCCTCCGTGCCCAGGATTTTGATCTTGCTGAAGAACGGGAACGTCACGCCGTAGGTGGACTTGGCGAAGGCCTCGATGTCGCGGCTGAACCCGGGCTCCGTGTCCCCGAACTGGCCGCAGGGGAAGGCCAGGACGTTGAAGTGAGACGTGCCCAGCTCCCGGTGCAGCTCCTGCAGAGACTTGTAGCTCGCCTCCGTGTGCTGGCAGTGACTCGCCACGTTTACAACCAGCGATGCCTGAACAGGACAGAAACCATGGAGCAATTATCACAACAAAATCCTGCACAGCATGGAATGACGAGAATGTAGGAAGTATAGAAGACAAACGTAATCTCTGTTTCCAAATGGAGACTTGCAGAGATTTACTGCCAAACTTAAGACGCCTGGTGATGATGTGGACGTACTTTTCCTCGGTACTTCTCCAGGGATACCGTCCTCCCCTTTGCGTCTTTCACCTCAAACGAATAAAAGTCCTTCTGTCTTCTGGGCTTCACCAGGTGCGTCTGCAGGAGGAATAAACACCCCATACCGACTGTCATGCTCACCAGGACCCTGAGCCTTTTTATTCTGGCTTTGGAGGACTTGGTGGGATAACCTCCGAGAGCCTCCATCTTGGAGGGGGGGAGTTAGGAATCCTGCAGAAAAGTCTGGGCGGACTCGAGGATGAAAGGGGGGGGGGGGGGGGGGGGAAATCCCTACAAACAGGAAACTCATTGCCTTAAAAATAAACAGCTTCTAAAGGCTGTGCTAAATTTAAAAAAATCACGGTTCTTAAACATTTCATACCATGTTATACCAGGTCAAAAGTTATAAAGAAATGTCTCACAAAATTTATTTTTAAATTCGCAGAGACACGAACATTTTATTGTGAAATTCCCAAGAGGAACTAACTTTCCAAAAGTTGATTCCAGGGCTTGATGTCAGCTTTGGGGTGACTATTATTTTTTGCCAAACTATAAAATTTATGAAATGTACAATTTCTCATGCCCAATGTTTTTTTTTGTTGTTGTTCTTCTTCACAGGCGACGCTGATGAAGTCGCATACAGACCCTTCAAGAGGCGGAGCATCAATGGAAGCAGCAGAGGAGGTCCAGCTGCCAGTACACCGCTGCCCTTCGGGGGGCGCTGTGACTCTCTTTTTGAGTTTTACACCTTCTGTCGGAGGCTGGAGCTCGCATTTTCACGAAAAAAAAAAACCCATGCAAGAACACAATGTCCTGCAATATGACATGCAAGAAACCTCTGTAACACCTTCTGATAAAGAGAATAAATAATCTTAAATGTGATCAGAAACTAAGATGTTACCAAAATTAGGATTAAAATTCCAGTTTGTGAAAATAATATCAAAATATAAACATTTATTATTCTCACTTGCACATGACAAGTTTTCTAACTGTTCTTATCATTCATTGGGTTGTAAGATATATTTAATTATTTCACTCACATTAAAGACACATACATGTTCATGTTTTTATTTGATATTATTCCAGTATAAAAATGCAAACAAACTAATAAAAACAATATGAATGTGCACTGCAGAGAAAATAAAGGATGCATTGCACTGTGCAACAAAAATGAAATAAATGTTTCACTGCGTTGTGCATCTTGCAGTATCGTTGCGATGCTCTTTTTACCCGCATTGAGGGTACCACTGAACATGTGAGACTCACACCATTGCACATCTGTGTTGCAATCACAAATTTGCACAGTTGTTAGAAACCTCATCTTGACATATGGTTTGAGTGTAGTTTCACTTCAGCTCCTTTCGACTTATAGGAATATGAACAGTTCCCCATGTCTTACGAGCAAGTTGGTAAATTGCTGTACTGATTAGGATTTTCTATGGCATTTGAAGCTGAGTCATCTCTGGTGGACAACTGCAGAAGATAATTGTGGCTTTAAACTCACCACAATGCTCTGTGAGATCCAGAAGATGGATGTAAGCAGAAACGCCAACAAATAATAAAGTTGTGCAAAAATGGCTTTTTCAGAGCCATTTTTGCTCTGAAAAAGCAAAAATGTTGAGTTAAAAAACAAAAAAAACAAAGTGGTGTACAACTTTAAATCTTTTATGAGAGCAAATTTTCAAGAATTTTTTCAATTGTTGTCAGCAGCTTGTACTTTCATTGTGCCAGGAAAAAAAATAATTACTGCCGCACAGTACCTATAATAAAGTATTCACACCCTTCGATGATTTTACAAATCAATGTAATTAGTTTTTTGGGGGGTATTTTTGACAAAACAAATTTACAAATAAAACCCCTTCATGTCAAAGTGAAAATAGATGTCTACAAAATAACGGCAAATAAATAAAAAATGTGTCAGATAGATTAATTGACTGCATAAGTATTTCCCTGCTTCAAGTCAGCATGTTTGTTAGCAACCACAGAACAGACTCTGTGGATAACTCTCAATATTTACTCTATTCTTACTTTGCAAACTGCTCAAGCTCTTAAAGGTTGCAGGAGAATTGGCTGTGAACAGCCAATTTCAAATCCAGCTACAAACTCTCCATGGGACTGAGGTGTGGGATTTGACTGGGCCACCCAAGAACATCAACCTTGTTGTACCATGTGTGAGTCTTTAGCTGGAAGCCTCTTGCTTTACAAGAAAGAAGCTGTAGTTCTCTTGCCTCATTCATTTTACCTTCTGCCTTTACCAGCTTTGAGGCCCTGCTGCAGTGAAGCATCCCCATAACATGACTCTGCCACCACTTTACTTCACAGGATGAATGGTGTCCACCAAAAATAGTGCCTTGACTGTTCAGTTTTAGACTAATCATAACTTTCTCCAACATGATAGGGATTTTCTCCCATATAGCTTTGACTGACAACAGTTGTATGCAGAGTCTCTCTCATCTCAGCTGCTGGAGCTTGTAGCTGTGCAGTCACTGATGGCTTCTATCACTAGACTCTCTGTACAGTCTCACATACATGTATGTAAGTGAGTTGAAGAATTTTGCCATTATGAGTTTCACGGGAAAGACACAATCCCTACTGAAAGACTACTGTAAGAAAATAATACTTTTTACAGAAGGGAAGGAAAGTTAAAAAAGATTGAACTTTTCCATTGTTCAAGATTAAATAAAAGCTTATCTTTCTTCTATTTTTCATTTGTGCTCAGTCACATGTAGATAATTTGAAGTCTAGGTAAAAGTTTTGCTTTGAGTCAGACCTTTCTGTTAAGGAAGTGAGGTTAGAAGTATAACCACACTTCTTGTCTACAGACCAGTAGAGAAAAACTATCCTTCAGTTGAAGACAGAAATCTCCTCTTGTAAAGATGATCAACTACAAACTATGTTCATTATGGTCAATATGACTCAGCTAACGCACAAAAGAAAACTTGCATGGAGTTGTTTGTGGCTCCAGGCAAGTAGGAAATAGGTCAAAATAAATCAAAATAGGTCATTTGTTAATGCACAACAACACAGATTGTTCATAAAACTCCTAGATGCACAGTACCATGCGTGCAGGAAAGAGAAAGTCATGCATACTAATCATAAAATGTAATGGCATGTTAAATTTATAAGGTAGGAATTCTCGAGGTCCATGATATGCAAGTAAAAAAAGAAATAAAATGTGCTTAATGTTGCAAGCATAAACAGTTTATTTGCACATTCTTGGTATGATATAACAGTAGCACAGTGTTTTTGTAAAATGTAAATATCTGAACATGCTCAATTTGAACTAAATAGGCTCAAAACACATTCTTTTTAGCATATGCAGCTGATTGCTAGTGTGGTCTCTGACCATAGTCTGATGGGTTTTTCTGGTGGTTTTGCTCAAAGAGGTTCTTATGTCAAAGCTCAAAAGCTTTGCAAATATGCATCATCATATTTTAGATTTTAAACATATAAAATAGTAACAATTATAATCACTCTTACTTTTGGTCCTAACTTGATAAGTATTTTTTAAAATGCACCTAACTGTAGCAAATAATGCTTTTCAGCCAGACTAACAGGTTAACTATTGCTGATGTTTATGAGCATACAGTTTATCATAAAAGAAAATGATTTCTTTCACCAATAATCAGCTGTAGCAGCATTAGAATTTTTCTTTATTTGACCAGGAGAAAGAGAGAACATTTGGCTGCAGATGCCACCCCAGTATTTCATCCTTCCCTTTCTTTCACTTTATATTTAGCTTAGAAATACTTCAAATGATGTGGAAAAAAATGACTCAGACTCATAGTTTGAGTGGTGTGACAGAGGACATCCTCAGAATAACCTTTTTACAGCTGCAGTGCGGTAGTGCAATCAAACCCTCATGAGTGAAACAGGACCTATTTTGTAGAGAAAAGTTAAACTTCCATAATCATTGTCTTATTATTGTGTTCAATATGTTTTATGGTGACACCATTGTTCAGCGAAACTGATTCATAGATCAATAGAGTTACTACATGTATTTTTACATTTTCTCACAAGTTATCTTTATCCACTTTGGCACTATAGGTAGAATTCGACTTGTAAAAATCTACTTGTAAATCCCGCAGTGAGGTGCCAGTTTGGTACGTCTACAAGCTCCTGATCTCGGATGTCATTCCTCCCCGTGGCTGGATAAATCACCATAGAGGTCTTTACTCTTTGCACATAAAATATAAGCCTGAACATAATTAAAAAGGAACAGTCGCAAAAATTTTACTTGGGTCTATTTAAAAAGTTAATTTAAAATAGATTGAAGCAATTTTGCCAAAAACTGACAAGGCTTTCGGAACATTTATTAATATTTAAAGCATAAATCTATGTAATTGAAAAATTACATAGATTGACAACATAGATTACATAGATGTCCATTAATGTTGTTAATCATCAACATCAGCAGCAGCAGCTTCATATCTTGGTTATACAGAACAGGGAAACTGACTTCTGGTATTCTGTATTAAAAAACAAAAAACAAAAAAACGTAGCCCATACAATTTTCTTTGTGAGTTTTTGATGAGCTGAGTTGATCAGCCTCTTTTAATCCAACTCTTCTTCTATCTTTTGACCTTTCGGACACCTATGTTCTCGATAGTGGCTGTGATGAATTTGCTGTTGCACAGGGTTTTGCCGTTTATCTTTGGATTCCTCTGGAACACTTTCAACCTAGTCCAGATTAAAGTCAACCTGTCTGAGCTGAAGTTGGGATCGTAGAGGTATCTGCACAGGGAGCAGATGATGAGAGACACAGGTAAGCTAAAAGCTATAAAACCATTTCACAAAAACGGTGGGGGTCTCTATGAGGAGAAATTTGAGACTTATTTGTACTAGAATGACAGTTTGTGGTGTCTCACTGTTTCTGTTTTACGTTAAGTTGTGGGATGTTGACCACAAGTGGAGCAGGTGGCGTGTTCAGTCACACTTGTCTCTCGTGTCAGCGCTTTCCTGGAAACAGCAGTTACTCAGCAGGTAATGGATGGTCATCTGTCATCAACAGAAAATTAGTTATTTAAAATTCTGACCTTGTTATTTTACTACTGGATTAGTGGTTTTTGATTTTTGTCCTGTGACTGTCGGCATTAGGATGGTCTTCATGGCTGAGAAAAGCGATTGCTACAGTAGGAAGGCAGAAAGATGAACAGCTAAGAATCTGAGACACAATCTGGATCTTGTTTGACTTCCCTCAATGCAAATTCACAGGTGGTGAAGTATTATATTTATAAAGATTTACTGTGAATGAACCTTTCATGATTTATTCCCAATAACTATGTCTACAGATCTGTTGTCTCAGATGACCTGGAAAGAGATGATGTTTGGTCTCAGGGCTTCCCCGTGAATTTCTCACCTGTTGGAGATGTTAGCCCCCCTCCCTCAGATGAATCCACCAACTCACATGTTAGAAGATTAACAAAGCAAATCAAACCTTCCACTTTTGAAACAGTCATAAATTTCTGTTTAACACATTTTCACCACCCTGATAGGACTGTGTGTATTACATCATTGTACTGCTGAGTAATAGAGCATATCTGTCATCTCGCACTGAGAAAGTTCATTTTTGAGACGGTTTTCACTGACTCATTATCGCTGGGGGTCTTCAGTGAAAACAAAACTATTAATGAATCATAGTAGTCATATAGGAGGTCTCAGTTTTCTGGCTCATGCAGTGGAAACATGGCGTGAGGAGGGGTGACCTCTGAGAACATCCTTTTTGAAACCTCACAAAGGCGAGGAACTGTTTGATCAAACGTTGGGGGTCCTCTTGGTCTAATGTTGTCATAATGTGAACGGCATGATGAAGAGGATGGTTTAAATGCTAATTCTCCTTAAACAAAAGCATTTAGGGATGCACCAATGCATCAGAAACTTGTCGTGGTTTTTGTGGTTGATCTTTTGAGAACAACATGTTACACAATGAGAACTGAAACCCTGAAGAGACACTTACAATTACATTCCTCTCTAAAGGTCATGATGCATTTTATATGCATTCTGAAATTTCATGCCAAATGCCTTATCTTTTGAGTAGTATATGTCGACTTGAATGTTTTGAAGTTTTGAAATTGTTTAATGTGATCTAACTTTTTATATCTCATCAACATAGCATTTCAACAGAGACATGTACACCTTTGAACGTCATAGCATATATTATCAATTCTGCATATTGGATATTACATCCTTCTCAGAAAAATGTGTTCTCGAAGAAGTAAATCTTCTGCATAACACAGACTTTACATCCAATAATACATTTAGGCATAAAAATGGTTTTATTTTAGGCTATAGTATAACAATGAAACATCCCTGACTGGTGTTTTTTTAAGGGTGTTATAAATGCAGAATGAGGAATATTTTGGTCTTAACATGATCTTTATTTATTTTTTTACTCTAGTGGCCTTTATTTGACAGTGAATCGACAGGAAAGTGAATTCTGAAAAGACGAGAAGACCGGTGGCAAAGTTCAACAGCTTATCAAACACTCACTTATATTTGTATTTGCAACAATAAAATTAGATCTGGGAAACGATCTGGTGTCACCACACACAACCAACGCTTCCTATTTTACTGCTGCTGTCATATTCAATAAATTACTTTAGTATTGAAAGGTTAATTTGTTTTAGTAACTCAGTTCACTAATTGCACTATGCTCTGTAGCTTGTTTTAAAATTGAGTTGTTTCTTCACTTTGACTTCCAGAAAGTGGGGTGAAGATCCTTGCAAATGATGCAACAACCCTAGTGCTGTTAAGACATGGTCAACTAAAACAATCTGTAATAAATGTAGCTTAGTATTGTTTACCTCATGTAGTGCAAAGCTAACACCAAATGTGCTTGTTACAGCATGTAGCATGTCTTTTAACTCATTATAGCTGATTCAAGATTCGGTCAAACTTGCAGAACATGTTTTGTTCATTTCATTTTTCTCCTTGCATGAAACTTTCAAGCTTTTTGATGTGCCCTGTTAGCTCAGATTAGAATTTCACATTTACAAAGTGCATTCAGATTAACCTTTGTTCTCACTGCCAGTTCCCAAAATAGACTGCTGGGTGGAGCTACCAGAAAGTATTTTTAGCAGCTCCCTTGAAAGCATGCCATCTCCATCTCCCTGCTATTCATTCACAACAGCATTGTTCAGATGACTCATGCAACTTTCCCTGCTAACAAACTTCTGATAAGAATCAATTGTTTCTTATCAGAAGGTTAGTGATCAAAATGAGGTAAACTGTTCTCCACTCCAGTCTCACCCTAAAATTTTCACTTGCCCCATCGAATAACTCCTATCAAAGTCTTCTGTGATCAGGGGGTAGAAATCAGGTCAGTAACACTAGTTTTGGGAATAGGAAACACAATAGTCTCTATTGAAGACATAAACAAAGCAACTAAGAAAACCTCCTGGAAGCAGTGATATGTTAACCAAGGACACTCCCTCTTTAGTCATAGTTCTTGCGTAATCCATCTCGTATGACCTATTTTTCTTGAATTCCCAAGCAGAGAGAGTTTTAGGCAGATGAGGAGGAGAGAGCATGACCAGAACTGATAGTGTATGTGGATTACTCGACACTTGTGGAGCTGTTGGGATTAGGAGGGAAGTGGCGCATATCAGTTTATGGGAAAGCATATGAATACAGCTGTATGTATGTTTCCCAATGAGATGCAGATACATCAACAGCTGGCTGTTCTGGGTAACAACAACTTTATTTACTTTGATCACTGTACTGTACTGTAATCCAGCCGACACAATATTTACCATTGTATTCACCAGGTGTAGTTAAAAACTTCTTTTTAAATGTATTTTATGCAGTGAGTCTGCCATTATCATTAAAGTTGTGCCATATTCATTGACTGATATAGTGCTTCAAAATGTGTTGCTCTTTGTAATGCAATTTCTGTGACTAGAATAGAGTAGAATAGAATAGAATAGAATAGAATAGAATAGAACTTTTGCATGCCTCCATCCATGAATGCATTACAAATGGACTATTCTGCATTACTGACTGTTCAAACAACAATCATGTCAACAAAGTCAAGATTTGTCAAATAGACTCATCAGTTGTTTGTGTGCATTGTCTGTAAAAGCAGCGACTTAGACTACAACTCAAGCAGAAAGAAAAGCTTACAGAATTAACATGGTTGGTGGTTGGTGATTAACCCAAATGCAAAAACGGAGCCGTGAAGCAGATGATGAAAAAATATTTTTAAAAATTAAATGAAAAAATTTACAAAACTTACAGGAGCCAGGGCAAAAGTCCAAATAATAAATCCAAAGAACATCCAGAAAGAGACAAGGAGAGTACAGTGAAACAAGAGACGTAACAGAAGAAACCATCAAGGAATGTCTGAGAAAGAGGTGCTTTAGTACTGGCAGGTTGAATGCTGAGACCATGGAAGTGGGCTGATTAGCCAATTATTGCAGCTGTGAGGAAAGGGAACAGAAGGCAGGTTTAGGGTAACAGAGGGAGAGACAGTGGCACAGGGGGCAAAATGGCACAGAGGACAAGAAAATAAATCTAAAACTGAAGAATAACTAGACCTAAGAAACAAAATAAAACTAGAGAGAATAGGAATAACCAGACACAAAAAAAACATAATTAACGAAGAAGGGACTGAACTAAATTAAAACTGATCAAGGAAACTGAACTAAGAAACACAAAAATGAACAAAAACCAACTCAGAAAACCCAAGACTTCACATTTTTGTGTTCAAAAGCTTTTGGTGCTATTCCACAGCTTATCTGAGTGCCTTCCTTGTAATTTTGCTTCTTTTTGTGACTGTTTATGTTTTTTCTTTGTTCAAATCCCTTCGCTTTTGCTTGGCTAGAGATTATTGTTTAACATAATGGAATTTAATGTGTAAGATATTGTGCGCATCAGAAAGTATTTTTTTCTGCTTTATCTTTTGTTTTAGTGGTATGCTGCAGTCTAGCAACAGGCCAGATATCCTCACGTTATATTTTCATCCAAGAACCCATGCCCTGGGCCAAAGGTCGTGAGTACTGTCAGAGCCACTTTGTGGACCTTGCTGTTTTGAGCACAGAGAAGGAATACTTTGCTCTCCTCAGTGCCATCCCCATGAACAATGCCAGCTTTTGGCTTGGCCTCCATAAGGAGAGCAGTGGCTGGAAGTGGACTAATGGGGAACAACTGAGACTCACTCACTGGTACAACTACAACCATGAGGGCCACTGTGTAAGCTTGGAGGCCATGTTTGAAGAAGATGACAAACTATTGGCCCGTTCTTGTAATGAGCAGCACAGCTTTGTTTGTCAGGGTAAGAAATGCTATTTTGAAGAATTTTTTATAATTCCTGCTCTATAATTTATTTATTTTTATTTTTTTTGCACAAAAAAATGCAAAATATTCTTGCATCATTGCAAGCAATTGTTGTGATATAATTTTTTTTTTCCCACAAAAAAAAATCATACAACAAAGATGCATTTTTATTCAGTTGACCTTTTTGGTGACACTTTATTTGAAGGGATGTGCAGGATGGTAGACTGACATGAGACATGAGTAAAAACATGACCTATCACAGGTCATCAAAAATGTTTACGACTGTTATCATTTGGTAAATAATGACACATTTAATGTAAATTTGACACTTTTAATTCAAGTTTTCATGGAGCTTTTCATTAAAAGTGGCTTTATTTACAAAGTGACACTTCAGTCCTAATCGTTTATGAAGAGTCATTCATGTTCATGACAGATGTTATGCCATGTTTATGACAGTTTTATATCAGTTTTATGCTCACCCCGTCAAATAAAGTGTTACCTAATTCATATATTTGTTTTTATAATATTATTTTTCTCATAATTAATGTAACTAATTTCCCACTAATTAAATCTTCCAGGACCCGTTTCCCCTCAGTCAGTGTCCGTGGACTTTGTGAACATCGATCACATGAAGCTAAGCTGGAACATATCTGCACTTATGCAGACGACTTCTCACTATTACAATGTGACAATATGCGGCTTCATTTGTGAGATGCTGTCCTACCCCTACAACAACAGCTCCTCCCTTATGAGCATCAGCATCTCCAACTTAAGTGCAGCCACAGAGTACTTCATATACGTTTCTGCTGTTGTTATTCATCTTGACCAGGAGACCAGCAGGAAATGGATTCTTCAAGCTAATCCTACCATGCTAAAAGCTAAAACAGGTGGGAAGAATTTTGAAGGAAATAATACAATACTGAGGCAAATCTGTAGCACATAGATAATTAAAAGTACAGTGCCTTGCAAAGTACTCATACTCCTTGAACATTTTCCCACATTACAATTAAACATTTCAATGCATAAAAAAAATTATCCTGCAACAGTGGCCCCTATGGGCAATCTAAGGTAAATGTTTGGGTAAATCCTGTTTCCTGTCATTGTTTGTGTACTAAAGCAGCACATTGATTTCAAAATGTTTGCTTTGAAAGATGTGCTTAGTAGTTGGAAAAGGCTTCAAAAGTAAATAAAATACATGAGAAATTAAGACACTGTACCTTGGATTAAAAGAAATTTGTTCTAATGAGCATCTTTTCTCTTCCCCAGTGACATCTAATAAGACTCACATAATCTTTTTCATCGTTCTGGACTTATTCAGTCTGGTTTTAATGGTCTCTTCATTTTGGTATATTTACCAAGTTGTGAAAAAGGCAAGTTTTGATTTCTCTGTCTATAAATATATATCTGAGTACTCACACGCTAATAACACACATTATTTGATCTCATCTCCAGAAATCCACAGAGAGGGTCGGTGGCAGATTGTCAGCAGGTTCAGCGATTGTTGAGCTGATCCCACACAGAATTGGGTTAGAAAAACTGGAAAATGTCATATTTTAGCAACCAAGAAAAAAGTTTTATTTTGACCCTTAAATTGTTTTTGTTCAAGCTGTGAAAAGTTTCACAGCTTATCCAGTGTACATTGTTGTGTACACTGGATAAATGCACATTATTAAAGTTCAGTTCTATATTTATATAATCGGTTTAGTTCACAGGCACTTACGTTTAAAAGACTGGCTGTCAGTCAAGCTCTGTGCATGAACAGATAAGCTACGTATCAGCTCAGATCATATATCTGAGGTTTCCTTACATAAACCCTCTGGGCTCATGATCTCACGATCAAATTCTCCATTTGTGTGTGTCTAAAGAAGCAAGAACTCATGGTCTCTGCAGACAGGCTATCTTGAAGAAGATAGGAGATCTTGTATTCACGAGAATTTCTTAAGCACAATGTTGAAACATTGATTCACTGTCGCTACTGTTTCGCAACACTAAACTTTGCTAACAAATTTCAGTTAAACATGCTAAATGTGTCATGATTTGGGTGACAGATGAGTTTTATGTTAAGGTTTTGTGATCATACCACAAACGAATACAGTGAATGTTGAAGAACGTTCATGTAATATTGTTATGATGTTACGTTAAAATTTTTCAAATATGTATATTTTTTTCTGCTAAATTTGTTTTGATTCACAGAACAAAATAAATTTCTATAATTTTCTAAGATAAATTAGTGTATATTTTTTCTCACAACACGATATGCATAAATTCCTTTATATTAATACAAGCTAATGTTTGAGGTTTGGTTGTGTAACTATGTTTCTACACTCAGCACTGCATAATATGGACTAAGATATTATTATCATAATTAATTTTCTTAATATTATCATTCAAAAGCATCCACAACCCACAGTTGGTCTCATTAGTTCTTTATGTATGTATGAGGGATTTTGTATTTTTTCTTTGTGTTTATCTTTTCGTTATTCTTTAGCTTCAGTCAGACAACAAGTGCATTGTATACATGTATTGGGTTTTTGTATATTTAATTTTGGACTCGGTATGTCATCTCTGGCATACACTGGATCTCGCACTGGAAAAGGGCTCCTAACTGGCTGTGTTTCTAGGAGACCAAAAGAAGTTAAAATTGTGCCAGCAAGGTCTGAACGCCACATGCTGTGACTTTTTTTGATGCGGGGTTTGGCAAAGGAATGAAAATTTTATGATCGCAGATTTTTTTAAACTTATTTAGGCATTTTAATGGTCAAACCACATCCTTTGAGATAACATATAAAAAGCAGGGTGAGCAGAGTGAAGGGCACCTTCATCTCCAGATCAAAGACACTGACAGCAAAAATGTTATATCTGACGGGGTTTGTTGCTTTCATCCTTGGTGCCTTTTCCTTTATTGCCAAATCCAGTGAGTGGTAACTTGCTAAATACTATAGCTTTTTCTATTAGTATATATATATATATATATATATATTTCTCGTGCTCCTTTTTCCTGATGTTGCAATCACTTGGTATTGCTACATCAGGAAAAAGGAGCACGAGAAACTGGAGAAATACCAGGGCCTCAGGGAAGAACTGGAGAGGGCCTGGAAGGTGAAGACCACAGTGGTGCCTGTGGTCATCGGGGCCCTCGGGGCAGTAACCCCAAACTGGAGCAGTGGCTACAACAGATCCCAGGAACAACATCAGACATCTCAGTCCAGAAATGTGCAGTCCTTGGCACAGCCAAGATACTGCGCAGAACCCTCAAGCTCCCAGGCCTCTGGTAGAGGACCCGAGCTCAGAGGATAAGAACCACCCGCGGTGGGTGAGAAGGGAATTTTTTTTTATATATATATATATATATATATATATTAATATATATATATATATATATATATATATATATATATATATATATATATATATATTTATTTTATTTATTTATTTATTTATTTATTTATTTTTTTTTTTTTTTTTTAAGTCAAGGGTTTATTTTAATGCTGTTGTGTGGAAAATCTTATCTGCATATCTTCCTGCGTTAGGTCATGATTCTGAGATTATCAATGGGAAAGAAGTGCAGCCACACTCCTTGCCTTTCATCGCTCTTCTTGAATCAAGTCGGTTCACTTTAATTGAAACTTTAATTGATTCCGAGTGGGTTCTAAGTGCTGTGCACTGTGAAGGGTAAGAACTATTTTTATTTTTCTTATTTATATGCTTTTGGCATGCATTCCAAGTACCATTGAAAATGGGGAATGCAACATGTTGTTACACTGACTGGTTTTGCCTTGCTTGCTCAACAAAGTTAAATATTATATTTCTGGCCCTGTACTAGCAGACTAGTCACTTACAAACACCTCTGAGCGTGGCGCTCTCTATGACAGCTGTAGCTGTACCGTCTCAAACAGACACAGACACATACTTCCAAAGTTGATGCCATTGCAAAGATCGGAAAATGATCTTCACGTGAGTCGATATAACATTTTGGTGGGTGGTTGTTTTAAGACAGGAGAAGATGACTTTGGTTTCAGTCTCAGTTTCACACGCTGTTATCTTAACTTTGTGGGCAAAACCATAACAGTTGAAGCAGCTGACTACTGAGAACAACCCCAAAGAATCAGACAACTTGAAAATGCAAACTACAACGCCCTTCAAAGTACTCTAAGGTCACAATTCTTCAAATTAAAGTGCAAAATAAGTTTATTAATTATTTTCCTTGTGCTTTTCTCCAACAACAAAGTCTACAGTAGTAATACCTGCTTTAATAAATTTTGCATAGTTTTAAAAATTATTTGTCCATTTCTGTGACAAAAATCAGAACTTTCCTCACATTATTGTTTATATGTACAGATAGGGACTGATCCCTTGCAGGGATATGGATGACAACAGACAGTCTTGTGCTGAATGAGTGCTGAGCAGAAGTTTATTTAGGTAGCAAAGATGGGAGGAATCAGCAATTAAGAGCCAGTAGAAGCTGGAGGAGCAGAGCAGAGGTGCAGCATAAAATGTGACAGGCAGGGGAACGTCAAGACACTTTCATAAATGACTTGGTGTTCCCAATTCTGTTTCCAATAAAAAGTTGCAATAGTTTTTCTCCATGAGGTTGGAGCCCCACATTGCAGTAACTTTCTTTCCAGGTACGTAATTATACTCTGATACAAAAAGTGTTTTTCCCTTCTCTAAATAAAACTTCATCATTAAGGCTAAATAGCTTTGTTTCTATGTTATAACAATAACGATACTATGTGTATTTTGCAAATAGAGGAGACACAAATTGTCTTCATGCTGTTTTCCAAGTTGACAGTATCTCTGAGAAATAATCATGCAAGGTCTGGAAATAGTTACCACGTGTCTATTCTCAGGGACTGTGTGATGTCAGTAAACTAAAAACCATGAGAAGTGCTAAACATGACCACTTCAGAAGTGGTAAGTCTGACCTCATTTCATGATCACACCTGTTTTGCCGATTCATGCATTTCCACGGTCCACCACATCCTTTGAGACGAAGACATAAAGAGCAGATTGAGCAATCTGATCGGCACATTCGTCTCCACATCAAACACCCTGATAGGAGGAAATGTTTTGTCTGAGGGATTTTATTGCTTTCATTCTCTGTGCCTTACTTCTTATCAAACTCAGTGAGTAGTACTTTAAGTATTGTCATTTTCTTACTAATGCAAATTTTCTCTTTAGTCAAGGGTTCAGCTTTCTTCTGTCACATCAAAAATTGTTTCTGGATGTAACGGCAGGTCATGGTTCTGAGATTATCAATGGGAGAGAAGTGGAGCCCCACTCGTTGCCCTACATGGCTCTCCTGGAGTTAAACCAACCAGCCTGTGGAGGAATACTAGTTGATCCGAAATGGGTTCTGACTGCTGCACACTGCATAAAGTAAGAGCAATAAAAGAAACTTCTTATTTTGAAGGATTTAGGTTGATCAGAAATAGAAAACACAATCTTTTGTTTCATTGGCTGTTTCTGTGCATATGTTGTTTTCTTTTGCACTTCCAACCAAATTAAACAATGTGGAGGTTTGTAACATGAAACTATCACTCTGCATTTTTGAATGTTGTGCTCCATGCAATTCAAGAGTCAATATTTCAAACTGAGTAGATGACCTGGGTAGATAGCAACAGAAAGCCATTTTTTCTTGCTTTGCGTGTGTGGAGTGCTTTTTGCTCTGTTTTTATAATCAGGAAAAAAGTAGACAAAAAAGGGATTTAGTTAAAAACTATGCACTACCAAAATTTATGATAGTATGTTTCTATGAATCAGACTAAGTAATGCCTGGCCAGGTCATAAGAATATCAAAAAATGTCTCAGTCTTTTGTGAAGTATGTGAAATAAAGTTTGCATGCATCACATGGTTGATGTGGCTTCAACATTTAAGGACTTAACATGTGAAGGAAGGAAAAGATGTCATATTTAGGTACAATTGTCACTCGCTTTAAGAAATCTCAAAAGCCACAAAGATTCAGAAAACTGTCATCCTCTATCAAACATTTTGTGTTTGAATTTTAAGTTTCATTTTCCGATTGAACAACACGTTTTGAGAGATTTAGCAGCATCTAAAACCAGGTCAGAGTCAGAATACTGATTATGACTCATTAAAATGTTCTTATTGTATGTTGTTGCTTCCTGTTTTATACATACATAAATATATATACATACAACTTTATTGCTGATTACTCAAACTTGAGAGCAAAGTCAAGGTTAAATTAAGCTTCTCTTCTCCAGTCATAAGACAAAATATCAAGGAGAATCTGTAATTCATAAATAAGTAATTCATCAGTCCTGGAAAATTAATAGACTTGTTTAGAAAGGAAAGGTTCTAAATAGTTGAAACCAGATGTTTACATGCCTTTAATAAAAAGATTTCTCTATTCTCTATTCTGTCAGATATTACATTTAACCATACTGTGCTTTTGTTCTGTCCCAGGATAAAGACTGTGTTGCTGGGGGTTCACTCCATCAAAGAAAAGAAGAAGGAACAGAAGTGCAGGCAGATCCGTAAGGTGAAGAAAAGTATTCCTCATCCATGCTATGACAGCAAAGAAAGAAACAACGATCTCATGTTGCTCAAGGTAACTTAGCAAAATTTGTGATCTTATCTATGCTGACATTGTTTCTAATACAAAATAATAGTGATATTTTCTTTTCCAGCTGGACAAAGCAGTGAAGGAAACCCAATGGGTGAAAACTCTCAAGCTGAATAAAGTTGTCAAAGAGCCAGCAGCCGGTTCAGTCTGTAAGGTGGCAGGATGGGGAAAAACCGATAAGGATGCAACTACCATGTCAGATGTTTTGATGTCGACCAATGTGACAGTGATCAACAGAACGAAATGCAACTCAAAAGATTATTACAACCTTGATCCTTACATAACTAAGAACATGATATGTGCCGGGTGGAATGGAAAAATCAAAGCTGACACTTGTAAGGTAAGTGGGACCACCAGCCATTTACCCAAATTTAAATGTTGCTGTTTCCCTAAAATGCATTATATAAACTTCTTCTCTCTGCAGGGAGATTCAGGAGGGCCAATTTTGTGCAATGAAGGTCTAGTTGGGGTTACGTCTTTTGGGCGTGAGTGTGGAATTCAAAACAAACCTGGAGTGTACGCTTTCCTCACTGAAGACAACCTTAAACTGGGTCAAGAAGACAATGAAGACAAATGAATGAACCCTGCTTTTCATTTTTGCTGTTCAACTCTTTCAAGTACTTTCCGATTCTGTTTGAATTTAACTTGCATTATGTTGCTGAAGGATGCATGTGCAGACAACAAGTGAACAGACAACTGAGTTCAATCAAACCCTGAAACTGTTTCTGAAAACCTATTTTAAAAAAAACCCAATAAAATGTTATATTATATTAATATCATATTATATTTCTATTTTTATTATATTTCCTGTCAGATTAGCCAACACCAATGACTTTGTGTGTGTTTTCCTGCTCGGTCACTAGGTGATGTTCTCTGCTACAACTAAAACTGATTAAAACTGATTAGATCAAAGGAAAGTTGACTATTGTTTATGTGGTTTGACTTGAAGGTGACTGGAAACAAGTGAGACTATTCATATGGTCCACATTTCAGACAAATATCAAGATTGAAGATAAAACAATCGCAAATATATGTCGACATTTTCTTGAGCTGTTATTGGTACCAAACAGCAGATAAAATGGGTTTTCCATGTTTCTAATCATGGAACACAATGATAGGATTACAACGTTCAACAAAACAGTTTTTGATTTCATCTATAGCAATTAGTGGCTTGTTGTCAACATCTTAATTTGGTGAGCAAAATCAAATTCAGTGGATGACCGGTTTTGTGTTTTCAACATTCAGATAAACTGTTCTCCAAAATGACCTCAGACAAGAAGAAGACTTTTTACTGAAGCCATTTGCGGTAGGTTAAAATTGAGAAGTGAGAACATGCACATTTCAGAAACAATACACAGCAGAAAAGAATAGTTTGCATTTAAATGTACAATAAAGTTGCTCACGAGGTGATATTTAGCTAAAAACTAAAATTTCCTATGAAACAAACGCTGCCTTCTTACAAGCACCTGCATTATTCTTAGTCAACAGAAATATCAATTTCAAATTCCAGTGCTTTCAAAAACCAGCTCAAACTAAAAGAAGTTGCAATGCTACTGAGAAAAACCCCATACTTTCTATCTCCTGCATTGTCTCCTTTATGTGACATCATCAAACTATGGCAGACTGTGAAATGTAATACTTAATTCTGCCACTAGATGGAAACCATTATTACTGTAATAACCTGGTAAATGTCAATAAACTCACAACAAAATTCATGTTTGACAAAGAATTTTGCATATGCTGAACCGTGAATATATGAAGATCTTTTGTATCTTCAGGTAAAACGATGACTGAAAGAGAACAGTACCACAGAATGACACATTTCACAAATGTGTCATTTTTTAAATGTGCCATTCTGTGTGACCTCTGACCCAATAGGTTTTGTAAAAATACCTTGTTGACCATATTCATGGTACACTCTTTTAAATTACAATGCAAAAATCATTTGTACACGCTCAGGAATAACTCAAACAAGCAATACTTAAAGGGAACCAAGTAGGAAATAACTAATTATTTTATGCCTAAAAATGGGTCTCAAATGTTGGCCTCAATAGAAGAAAGGTGTACAGTTTCATGCCCAAAAAAGATATTATTTTTATTTAGAAAATCCTGATTGATTTGCTACTAGAGGTCATAACTCAGTGAATAAAATTTGAATACTTAAGTCTCCTCTGCTCATGACTGTCTTCCCACCTGTTTGTATTCTGAGCTGCATGTTGAGGAAATAAAATAAAAACCCTGTACCTCACAGCTGCTGAAGGGTTTTGGTTCTGATCTAGTGTTACCACAGACTTCAGCTTACCGGATCACTACGTGTGTTTTGCTGAATCATGCATTTCCATGGTCAGACCACATCCTTTGAGAAACATAGATAAGGGGTGAGGGTCAGCAACCAGAGGGCGCATTCATCTCCAGATCATCTCCAGATAAGACAAAATGTTCTCTCTGTGGGGCGTCATTGCCCTTTTCCTTACGATCAACTCAAGTGAGTAATATCTTAAGTGCTGCCATTTTATTTCAGAAGAAAGTTAATGTCACTTCACTGTGTTGTACCTTTTGAACTTTCTGTGTTAGGCCATGGTTCTGAAATTATCAATGGGAAAGAAGTGAAGCCGCACTCGTTGCCCTACATGGCTTTGCTGGAGTCAAGCCAACCAGTCTGTGGAGGAATATTAATTGATCCAAACTGGGTTCTGACTGCTGCACACTGTGAAGGGTAAAAACTGGAACTCTTTTTTTGCATTTCGTTTGCTTTATTGTGCACTGAGCAAATCACAAACCGATATTTCAAAGCAAGATGTTTTCAACTTTCATGTTTTATACTGAAAGTGTGTTTGTGTCAATACTGCCAGTTTTTTTGTTTTTCTTATTTTGATGGCAGTGACTAAAACCTCCAATCATTTTTAATGTTGACTTGAATATGATCATAACAAATAGACAACCCTTATGGCCTGCAATTTTACTACCCTTTTTATCTCTAAAATTGCTCTGCTATTTACCACACAGACTTAAATGTAATGTTTCTTTCTCCAGACCCATTTACTGTATTGTTGTTGCTCTTTCAGTGTTAAGACTGTGTTGCTGGGGGTTCACTCCATCAAGGAGAAGAAGAATGAACAGCAGTACAGGCAGATCCTTAAGGTATCAAGAAGTGTTCCTCATCCGTGCTTTGATAGCAAGGAAAAAAACAACGATCTCATGTTACTCAAGGTAACCGTACTTTGCAAAATTAGTGATCTTAACTGTACTGACATAATTCATGGTATAAAATAATAGTGATATTATATTTTCCAGCTGGACAAGGCAGTGAAGCATACCGAATCGGTGAGCTCTTTGAAACTGAATGACGTTGTCAAAGAGCCAGCAGCAGGTTCAGTCTGTATGGTGGCTGGATGGGGACAAACCAAAAAAGGTGGAGCTGCTTTGTCAGATGTTCTGATGTCAGCCAATGTGACAGTGATCGACAGAATGAAATGCAACTCAAAGAAATATTACCAACTTCGTCCATATATAACTAAGAACATGATATGTGCTGGGGCCAGTGGTAAAATCAAAGGTGACACTTGTCAGGTAAGAGATCCTCATGGTAATTTACACTAAGATAAATGCTATTGTTCCCGTAAAATGCCGGTTTTCTTTTCTTCTCTGTGTAGGGAGATTCAGGAGGGCCAATACTGTGCAATGGAGCTGTAGTTGGTGTCGCATCTTTTGGTTACAAGTGTGGAATCAAAAACAAACCTGGAGTGTACGCTTTCCTTACCGAAGATCACCTCAAGTGGATCAAAAAGACAATGAAGACTCCTGCAAATGAATGAAGGTTGTTCTTGAGTTGCTGTTTTGCTCTTTCAGTTATTGTTTTGCTGTCTGTTGTAATTTAGCCTGCATTACGTTAGAAAAAAGCTTCGGTAAAAACACCCAATGAACAAATAAAACTCTGAGTTTTTACTTCTCACAGCAAGGCTTGAGCTATTTCTGATAACCACTTTAAACAAATAAAGAGTAAAATATTTCTTTTCTTGCTCTGTATCGGATTAGCTGATATCTGAGTCGATCCTTTTCAGCAGCAAAAAATGTAAAAATATTTTAAGGAAGAAATGTGCCCAAGTTTGTTTTTAAGTCAATAGTTGAAGTATTTTTGCCATCATATTTGCTATGATGATAAAATAAAAGCAAAAATAAAATGTTTGTGTGTCATTTCCCTCTTTCCTCCTCTGAATGTGTGACTGCTGAACTCATCAGGAGTAATCAGAAGGAGCATTGAGAGGAGGATTTTCGTACCACCACATCATGCATTATCAAATAGTTATACTGCAATGATTTTGAAGACTTTCGTTTCTTCTGCTTCTGGCTCTATGTTCCCACTGATCTTCAAATGTGAGCTGCACCACAGTGGTAAAAATAAACAAACAAAACCTCCGCTTCACAGCTGCAGAATGACATTGGTTCTGGAGGCACTAAGTGGCTCAGATGGCAGAGCAGATGAACGATGTGTTGCCTGTGATGTGAAGCAGTTGTCCTGGGCTTGATTCCTGGTCGAAGGACGTCTGCCGTGTTACTCTCTCAGCCCTCTTCTAGTCCTAAAAAAAATAAACTGATTCTGATCTGGGGAATGTCACCACACATTTCAGATTGATAGTGTTCATCAGAAAACTTCATGTGTTTTGCTGATCATGCATTTCCATGCATGATCCATGCATGAAAAAATTTGTTTTTTTTTCTCAAAAAAACCACATTCTTTGAGAAACACACATAAAGGAGGAGGGTGAGCACCATGAGGGTCGCATTCATCCCCAGAACAAAGTCTGAGAAAAAAAGGAAATGTTCTCACCGACGGGTTGCACTACTTTCATCTTTTGTGCACTTTTTCTTATCATGAGCTCACGTGCGTAATATCTCAAATGTTTGCATGGAAATGCCCACAACTGGTAGGAACATGCTATCAACATTTTTGCATACATAAATATCAATTTTAACACCATACTGTGGTTTTGCTTTTGCAGCATTAAGTCTGTGTTACTGGGGGTGCACTCCATCAAAAAAAAAAAAAGAAAATAGAAAAGAAGTTCTGGTAGGTCTGTAAGGATTTTCACATATTTCTTCTTTCTCGTCGGGTGATTATGGAGGACCAATATTGTGTAATGGTGTTCTAGTTGGAGTCAAATACTTTTTTCTTTTAGTGATGAACAGAACTGTTTTGTTTGTTGTTGTTTTTTAGAAAACCCTTGCTTGATGAAAGCTTGCTCCCATGTCAGATTTTAAGATAAACGTTTTTTATCATTATCATTCCCATTGAGTCGAATGACGCCCAACAGGAGCAAAAACCATTACCCAGCTTTTCCACAGTAACCATTACCTGCATTCACTACATATATTGATGTTCTCAATGCCACAAAATATTTCCATTCTTGATTTGCAACTAGAGGTCATAACTCAGTGCATGAAATTTGCTGCTGAAGGGTTTTGGTTCTGATCTAGTGTTACCACAGACTTCAGCTAACCGGATCACTACGTGTGTTTTGCTGAATCATGCATTTCCATGGTCAGACCACATCCTTTGAGAAACATAGATAAGGGGTGAGGGTCAGCAACCTGAGGGCGCATTCATCTCCAGATCATCTCCAGATAAGACAAAATGTTCTCTCTGTGGGGGATCATTGCCCTTTTCCTTACAATCAACTCAAGTGAGTAATATCTTAAGTTTACTTGAGAAAAACATTGATATCACTTATCTGTGTTGTACCTTTTGAACTTTCTGTGTTAGGCCATGGTTCTGAAATTATCAATGGGAAAGAAGTGAAGCCGCACTCGTTGCCCTACATGGCTTTGCTGGAGTCAAGCCAACCAGTCTGTGGAGGAATATTAATTGATCCAAACTGGGTTCTGACTGCTGCACACTGTGAAGGGTAAAAACTGGAACTCTTTTATTTTTTGTGCATTTACTTTGCTTTTAGGTCTGTAAAGGCAAACCGTCAGTCTGCACCTTTGGGTGTTGTGCACCGTGCAAATTAAACAGCAATAGACAGCAACAGGAAGCCATTTTTTTTCTTGCTCTGAATGTAAGTAGAGTTTGTTTCTGCTTTTACTCACAGGAGAAAAGGTTAAGAAGGAACAGATTTGTTTTTAGGTAAATCTGATTTGTTTTAAAGGTAAAGTAATCCCAATACAATATATTAAAATTTCCGGCTAAAATCTATTTATGTCAAATATATTTTTAATTGATAATACTTTGTGCATCTTTCATATTAAATAATCATCACAATGAATCAACTCTCATCATAAAAATATCTACTGCTCTCTTTACAGACCTTCAACTTACTGACCTATTGCAAGAAAATAAAGCTGTACAATTATAGCATTCTTAAGATAATGTGCAATAAATAAATCCTAAAATATGTTCCATGTCAAATTGATCATAATTCTCTTGAAATAAATAACAGGAGATTGATAAAATTTTTATAGTGTACTAACTTTGGACATGCCCCATAAATCTAACACCATACTGTGGTTTTGTTCTTGCAGCATTAAGACTGTGTTACTGGGGGTGCACTCCATCAAAAACAAGAAAAAAGAAAAGAAGTACCGGCAGGTCCGTAAGGTGGAGACAAGTGTACCTTATCTTAAATTTGACCCTCAAACAAAAGTCAATGATCTCATCTTGCTCAAGGTAAGATAAGATTTTACAATAAGAGGAAATTTACGCATAGATAGGTTTTGGAAAAATACTCAAGAAAAACTATAAAACATGATTACAAGTTGGTTTTGATTTAGTCATTGACAAAATACAGTTTATTTGCTTCTTGACTCAAACAGTGATCTTCAATCATATCTATGATTTTGTCTTTAAGTTCGTCAACTAAAATAATTGTTTGAACAAGATTTAAGATTCAAACTCTTTCAGATCTGGTTTCAGTTTTTTAATTTTGTGAACAATTTCAACTTTTAAATTAATAGTTTCATGTTAGAGTGATCTCTCCCTTACCCCTCACCCCCTTTCAGCTGGATGAACCAGTAAAGGAAACCAATTGGGTCAAAGTTCACCAGCTGAGCAATGTTGTCAAAGACCCAACAGAAGGCTCTTCCTGTTTGGTGGCTGGATGGGGAAAATCCAACAAAAATAAACCTATGTCAGATGTTTTGATGTCTGCTAAAGTTACTGTGATTAACAGAAAGAAGTGCAACTCTCCAGACTATTATAATAATACGCCATATATTACCAAGGACATGATATGTGCGGGGCCAAGTGGGAAAAAAAGAGATGCAGACACCTGTAAGGTAAATGAGACTTTTAGCCAAAGTTTAAAACATTCTTATTACTTTAAAATGATTTTCACGTGTTTCTTCTTTCTGTTAGGGGGATTCAGGAGGACCAATATTTTGTAATGGAGTTCTAGTTGGGGTCACGTCTTTCGGGGGATCCGAGCTTGAGCCCTGCGGGTCAGTGAAGAGGCCTGGGGTTTACACTTTCCTATCAAAATACCATCTTAACTGGATCAGGAAGACACTGAACAAAACCGAATAAGTCTTCTGACTAATACAGTCATGTTTCTCTAACCTCTATTTTTGTTGTTCAGTTTGTATTCAATTTGCATTTTATTACTAAAATTGGATGTATAGATAAAACACAATAAAAACACATAAACAAATATCTTTGGTGGTCTTCTACTGTAATCATGTCAGCATATCAATTACGTGTGTGTGTGTGTGTGTGTGTGTGTGTGTGTGTGTGTGTGTGTGTGTGTGTGGGGGGGGGGGGGGGGGGGGGGGGGGTGTGTGTGTGTGTGTGTGTGTGTGTGATCCTGTATGTCTCTGTGATGGAATGGTGACTTGTTCAGGATGTATTCTGCCTCTCACCAAAAGAGTGCTGCAAGCTGAAGATAGGTGCTACCTTCTGCATGATGCTGCAAGGACAACAGCAGGCATAGAAAATGGGTGGAATAAATAGTGGTTCGGTGTTGCTGTGGCACTTAATAAAAACCTGAAAGAGGTAAATATGTGATTTGAATCGGGACACCTACAACCTGGTGGCTTATGCCATATTCAAATGTTAGCTAAACTTCTGTCATGACACATTACTTCATTTAAGAGTTTTCTATTTTCAGACGAATGAATGTCAAACACAAGAACACAACAGTAAAAACAATGTAAAATAAAATCTTATGCAAAATATTAGACTTTATAAACAGATCCTTTCCCAAATCGTCAAAATGTGTGCAGCCTTTGCATGCGTCAGTCGGCACCTTATTTTTGAAAAGAGAACTTTGCAAAGCCTTAAGACCCTCCCCCTGATCTTAGCAGTTTGTTCCCATGTCTGCACTCACCCACTCTCTGATGTGCATGATGTTAAAAACCCACATCATGCTGACTAACTTGGTTCTGATCAGTACTGGTAAATTTGACCACAGGCTTCAGGTTGACGGTGTGCTGCAGATCATTTTATCCATTTTGCTGACTCGTTCATTTCCATGGTCAGACCACATCCTTTGAGAAAAACACATAAAGGGCAGATTGTCTCCAGAGGCCCATTCACCACCAGATCAAAGACAGAAATAAGATGAAATGTTGTCTCTGAGGGATTTCGTTGCTTTCATCTCCTGGGTCTTCTTCTTTTCTTTCAATTCAAGTGAGTAATAAATTATTAAATGCAATAATTGCTATATATATCAGTTACTTTTGTTTTAGAATTATTCTTTTTTTGTTTTTTTGTGAAAAAATCTTATTTGGTTATCTTCCTGTGGTAGGTTATGGTTCTGAGATTATTGATGGGAATGAAGTGGAGCCCCACTCGTTGCCCTACATGGCTCTGCTGGAGTCAAACGTACCGATCTGTGGAGGAATATTAATTGATCCCAACTGGGTCCTGACAGCAGCACACTGCAAAGAGTAGGAACTATGACGTTTATAATTTGCTTTTAATTTGCAATAATAATACCTAGTTAATTAACAAATAACCTGTTCTGTGTAGTTTTTGTTCATCTTTCTTTTCTAAAGAATTAAAAACTGTTGTCACCGGAGGCATTTTTTAAATTTACCCTGCTGATTGTGTGCAGGGTAAAGAATGAGTATGCATGCTGAGTCACTGGAACCATCATTTCTTTGTTGCATCAACAGATTTTTTAACCAATGCTTTAAAATGTGAAAGCACCAAATAGCTAATAGAGAGCTAATGTAATTTTTAATCAAACGCTTTACAAACATACATAATGTTTGCATACCTTCTTTAAAACAACTTTCATTTGCTTCTGTAAAAAAAAAAAAATTACATTCAGCTCCTTCGTCTTGCAAGGGGTGTCATGATGCATTTCAAAAGTGCATCCTGCATGCTGAAGGTATCACGTTTCATCTCAGACACTGAGTCTAAGCACATGATCGTTTCTGCTTTGTACACACAGAAAGGAACAAATGTCAGTCATTGAAAGAAAACACAGAAACCACAAGGCGCCTTTTCTGAGACACATTTCAGCATTTCAAACTCGCGACTGATTTTGCATGAGAAAAATAAATGCACATAAAGGTCTAATTAATTATTAAATATCAGTGGCATGCAAAAGTTAAAAGTCGGCTTTGCATTCTGGTGAAATGAACAGAAACTTATGAGGCAACATTATCTTCTGCACCGACTAAAGTGGATCATGAAGTGTGTGTGTCAGGATGGTCAAAGTGCAATGGACTTAGACAATAAAAAGACACTTCTTCAAACACCTAGAATCTCAGCGCAAACAATATATTTTCTTAAAGCGTAATATTTCTGGTATACTATTTCACCATTTAAGACTTACCCTAATTATTATTATTTTTCAATCATGTAAGCTGTTTAACCAAACTATTACTGTTCTCACTTTGTGCTGTTGTGAATAATGACGTATTTTTCTGCTCTTGCAGTGTTAAGACTGTACAGCTGGGGGTGCACTCTATCAAAGAAAAGGAAAAGGAAAAACAATACAGGCAGGTCCGAAGTGTGTCAAAACACATCATCCATCCCTGCTATGATGAGGCTGAAAAACGCAACGACCTCATGTTGATCAAGGTAAGACTTTAACATGCTAAGTAAAGAAATATTTTACATCTGTCTAACTATAAATCAGAAATGGTGGAAACTATGCTCTTAGTTGTTAGTGCCTGCATTTTTGCAAAATCCCCAAAAGTTTTTGCCTAAAATGATTGTTCAATCAAACTAAAATGGTCCCATATTATAAATGTATATATTTTAACAACAAATCATCTGCATCTGTTGTGCCACACTTTTTTAGATGAACAAGCCAGCGAAGAGAACCAAATGGGTTCAAAGTCTCAAGCTGCAAACTGCTGTAAAAGAGCCAGCAACCGGGTCCGTCTGCATGGTGGCTGGATGGGGGAAAACAAACAACCGTGGCAAAATGTCTGACGTCCTGATGTCCACCAATGTGACAGTAATCGACAGAGAGAAGTGCAACTCTCCAGATTATTACAACCTTAAGCCGTATATTAACAAGAACATGCTTTGTGCCGGGTCAGATGGAGAAAACAATGCCGACACTTGTCAGGTAAAATAGGTCCAAAAGCCTTTTATGCCTTAGTTAAAGGTTGATATATTCTGAAAACAATCATCGCATGTTTCTTCTCTCTCTCAGGGGGATTCTGGAGGACCAATACTGTGCAAAAAAGTTCTGGTTGGAGTCACATCATTTGGGAAGTTATGTGGCTTAAAAAAGAAACCTGGAGTTTACTCTTTCCTGTCAGAAAGGCATCTTAACTGGATCAAGAAGACAATGAAGACACCTAAAACTGAATAACTCATATCTATATTGTACTGTTAAATTCTCACAATCCCTTTTCTGTATTCTGTATTTATTATTTGTTTTTTTAACTTTTAAATATTTTATACAAATAGAAAACATATCCAGTTTTGACTCATTACGAAACTGTGATGAATGAATAAAACTTTAAAGGAGAAGAAGAACCACAAACATTTTACTTCAAACTCATTCAGAAAACATACAATCAGTTTTTCTTTGAATACATCTGTCATCTACATTGGCTGAATTCAGTGTTGGGGGGGGAAACGTCCCAAAATACACAGGGAACATGTGCAAACTCCAGTCAGAAACATTTCAGTTCCATCAGACTTGAAGAACAGAACCTCAAATATGAAGCTGTTTTAAATCGTCAATGTCTACATTGTGGAGTGCACCAATTACTTGTGTGCATCAGAGAACAAACGTTTTCTAACCAGGGCAGAAAGTGGAATTCCAGTGACTAGAAAAATTGTTTTGTAAAGTAAAGAACTTTATTCAAATCAAACCTCTAAAAACAAGCAAACTTCAAGAGAGCTATTAACAGCTCAAGCTACTTTGACCTGCTTGTTTAAGCATAATGAGCAGGTCCTTTATGATTGCACATGTATTGACAGGGGTTGTCTGAGTTGTCCACAATGCCTTCACATGAGAAATAGCATGCAGTAGGCTAATATGAAGCGAGTGGGTGTCAACTCAAAAAAAGAACACAACAATAATAATAAATTTTATTTGTGGCGTCTAAGTACTCAGACACTTTACACGAGTACAAATATAAAATCATACAATGCAATACAACATAAAAACACATTAAAAGGGCAGATTTCAACATTAAAGAAATTACCAGACTGATATATGCCCATGTGGATCTTTGATATTGATCTAAAATCTATAATGCCATTACTCCATCCATAAATATAAAAAAGATCCTTTTGTTTTTTGTGTAGTAATGGATTCACAATACCTCACAAAGCACAGAGAAACAATTAGTTTGTCACATATATATTGTTTCTCTTAACGTCTCTTAATAAAGTGATATTACCTTTGAATATTGTCTCAAAATGCCAAAGAAAATGGGGCATCCAAAAAAATAAAAAGATGGGACAAAACAGAAGGCTTTCATGCCAGATGGAAAATAAAATGTATTTTAAAAAAGATAATAAATTTGGCCTCTTTCAATTAAAATGTAAGTAATCCAAGGGATTAGTTCAAGAAAAATGCACACTCTCACATTCCTTCTCTATTAGAAATATGGAGTTCATAAAACAAACCTCAATACAAAAATCCTGCTTAAATCCAACTCAGAAAAGTAAAGTTGGGCCGTTGTGAAACTGACAGTTTTCTTACCAGACACTAGGTGGTGCTCTTTCACAGGTAGAGTGAAGTCCTCCATGAACAGGTGACTCAAAAATTATTATTAAAGCAACTGACTGTGAAAACTTGAGGCAGCACGTAACTCTAGAAATTTTATATGTGATACAAGTAACATACATTTAATATATATATATGAAATTTATGTTATATATTTGTTCAAAGTAAAGTATTCTTTTGTTTCTGAATAAATGTTTGCTCATATTAGCATGTTTGCAATTTCGTTCAATTTTGTTCTGCATTTTATAAATCTGTTTCAATGGCACGTTTACCATAGTCTTTAACAAACATTTTTCTCTTCAGAGAAATCTGACCTGAGGATTATATACAGTATCACTGGAGTTGGTAGTCGAATTATAATATCTTGATTTCTTGCTATAATTGGGAAAACCTTTTGTACTGTATAAGGTGCTCCTGTGCAGTGCATTTGCAGGCTTTCCAAAACATTATGATTTTAGTTTTAAATAAGTCATGTTTTTAAATTAAGGTCAGCTGATGCCAAGCTGATAAGTGGAGAAGGAAGTCAACGTTCAAAGGGAAAAGAACAATATTTTTTTCTTCTGCTTTTGCAAAGTAATCAATTTAATGTCACAAAAATAAAAAAACTTTTTGGCAAGAAGCTCTATCCTTTGAACATGCTGAGGGGGGATAAACACTACCGCACCCATGAAATTCCTGCATGTCCTTTATGTCAGTTCCTCATGAATTACCACTGACCAACCAGGTCCCTGTATGTTTACAGTGTCTCCATAGTAACCCACAAAAGCTGCTGGGCCCACCTCAGTGTCACCGAAACCTCCAAAGCTCACCACACCCAAATTAACTGATTTTGTGGGATGGATGAATGCATGAGCACTTTTTGGCATGTTTCATTCGCCATTTCTACCACAGGAACTTGGATCCCACACAACACACGCAATGCCAGGGTAAATGTTTACCTGGATTTGCATCACCTGTGTTTGATGCCCACCTCGCCTCACCTTGCTTTCTCCCTCCTCTGTGACGCAGCACAAACACAGCGTCAAACTTTATTGTATAAAGGTAGCCGCAAGTTGTTGTATTTGAGTGTGTGAGTCAGCCTTTATTGGCTCTTTAAAGTGCTGATTCTGTGTGATACCAGTTGACCCATGAGATGATAAGACAGCAATCTGTTTCGTAACTCATGTTCTTGAGGAGGGTTTAATTTAGAGACATGCAGAAACATTGAATCCCAAATGTGAATGAAGATGAAAGTGACTCAACTGATTTTCGATAAACAGAATACTTTTAGGAGTACATATACCAATGAACTAATAAATAAATCAGGTGTCAGATATTGATGTTAGAAAAAATGACAGGAAATCTAAAAGTCAGGTTTCAAATTATTATTTCCTTTATCAAGCAAAAAGAAAAGTGCTATTCAAACCAACACTACCCGACATGAAAAAGAAATCAGTCCCTTTGTTAAATCAATAATTTCAGAAACAAAGAAATATTCTTGTTTTGGCCTATTGTCTCTCCATCTACCACCGTATGCCAGCAACATAAACTTTCAGAGTAGATGGAGACCGACCCTGAGAAAGCAGTGCTTGAAGGAAGGTTAAAATAACGGAAATAGGACAGTGTGCAAGGTCCTCATGTCTAGCATGACACCAGCTGCCAAAAACCTTCCATTTGTGGGTATTATTGAAATAGAATTTTAAAGTAGCACAATAGTACACAATAGTATTTGTATCTAAGATAAACTTAGATACAAATCCAAACTATGACAACTGGTGACTTACATAAATTTCTAATCAGAAAGCAGTCTTATACTCCTTAAGGAACATTTCAGACAGGGAGTGTATTGGCTATCAGGGCAATAAATTCTTTACTCAGGGTTGAATAGTTCAGACAAACATTAAAAACTATAGAAGTCCGTTACAACATATAATCAAACATATTGGTATATTTCTTTAAGCATTAAAAAGCATGTTTTTAATTAGTTAGTTTTAGATCCAACTTATAGTTAGTATTAAGCAATACATTTTGTGCGAGTTTGTATAAAAAACACCAACTGATTTCTTGTTGAAGCATTTTGAGGCAGAGATAACGTTCCAGACGCACGCTATAAATCAGATCGCCTTAAGGAGCCTGGTACGAGAAGAGCTGGGTGTTTCAGTGGGTCTCAGAGGTAATAAAATTAACATTTAAGACAGCCCACACAAAGGAAAACACACCTCCTAATGCATATATTTAAATGAGGAGAATAAACATTCGTATAAAATGGTTTGTTTTACAGCAGAAGTTCGAATCTCTTTGTGCTGAGTGAGAGTTTCCCAGAAGATGCATCTTTTGTCTGTTTATATTTCCCTTTTTACTCAGTTAATTGTTTCTGTTTTGTCATGTCTTGGACTTTTGATGATCTAGGTGAGATGCTCATTGTAACATTCTTCTTGCATTGATTTTCTCTGGATAAAACTCTGGATATCTGAAGTCTGACGTCGTATGATTGCTCTTTCTCCCTGCACATATATTGAAATACAGGAATCCAGGACAAGAGGAATAAATTAAGTTATTCCGCTAAATCAAGTTATTCCGCTTTTTAATTCTTAACAGTATACACCAGTCGTGTGGAAGGGGCCCTGGCATTAGTCATTGTATGCCCAATGTCTCTGTCATCCAGCTCAAACCGAGCAAGCGCACGATCGAACCATCCTCTTCTGACTAAGAGCAGGAAGAGATACGCAAACTGGCTGCTGACAGATACAAGCCAGAGTAAAACTGATCTTGAAAATTAGTGCCAGATGCTGCCAGGGATATAGCATTGTCTTCTAAGGCAAAGAGTCCTGCCCTGGGTCTGGGTCCCCAGTCAGACCAGCGCCAAACCCGTCCATAAGGGACTTGAGCAAGGCTTTCATCCCCTCCAGTTCAGAAGTGAGATGGGCCACCTGTCCAGATAGGCCCTCTGAATCTCTGCATCTCTTCTTGGTCCTCTCCTGCTGAGACCCTATAGCCTCAGGAGCCATGCACTTCTGGCATCTTGAAAGTCAGCCAAACAAGCAGTACGCAGGGACAAGCGCATGACACAACAAATAGGGCTGACCCTATCAGTCAAGGCTTTTCTTAGGTGATCTGGCCCAAACAAAGAGGGACAACTGGAGAGGGGCCAAACAAGCTTTGCAGCACAGCACATCCAGCATCTCATGCTCACAGGACGAGGTCAGGTCGAGTCGAAATTGCCACTCTTGACACTTAAGCTGACAAGCGAATAGGCCAGGGAAACCGAACACAGCTGCACAATGTAACAAAAAGCAAGCCCGAAAACGGCGGCTATGTAACAAAAAATAAATAAAAGAAATAGGCAAGCCAAACACGGCTGCACGATGTAACAAAAAGGCTGCACAATCTAACAAAAGCAAGCCAAACACGGCTGCACGATGTAACAAAAAGCAAGCCAAAACACGGCTGCACGATGTAACAAAAAGCAAGCCAAACACGGCTGCACGATGTAACAAAAAGCAAGCCAAACACGGCTGCACGATGTAACAAAAAGGCTGCACAATGTAACAAAAAGCAAGCCAAACACGGCTGCACGATGTAACAAAAAGCAAGCCAAACACGGCTGCACGATGTAACAAAAAGCAAGCCAAACACGGCTGCACGATGTAACAAAAAGCAAGCCAAACACGGCTGCACGATGTAACAAAAAGCAAGCCAAACACGGCTGCACGATGTAACAAAAAATAGGCAAGCCGAACACGGCTGCACAATGTAACAAAAAGCAAGCCCGAAAACGGCGGCTATGTAACAAAAAATAGGCAAGCCGAACATGGCTGCACAATGTGACAAAAAGCAAGCCCAAAAATAGCTGCTATGGTTACATAGCAGCTATTGTAACAAGCCCGAAGTGGCTACAATAATGAAATAAAGACAAGCCAGATTTGGCGGCACAATATAAGGAAAAGCAATCCCGAAAACGACTGCACTACAGCAAAGTAAATCCGATTACAGCTGCCAGCTACAAATACAAGCCAATATGGCTAAAGCAAACAAGCTGGTCAGAATCGGCTAACGCCATACCACCAGCGATAGGGAAATCGACACAGGAAGCGAACAAAGGACAAAGTTGTATCAAAAGCAACTTTGCTAAAACCGAGCAAGCGCAGTTCAAAACCATCCTCTTCCAACCGAGAGCAGGAAGAGATACTCGAACTGCCTGCTGACAGATGCAAGCCAGGGTCTGGTTGACCTCCAGACTCCGGTCTGGAGGTCAACCGTAGTCTTGAGGCTACCAGCGACAAGCAAATGATGTGTGTCTTACCACCTGTTCAACCTGCATGCGAGAAGATTGAAAAGGTTACTCAGGTGTCATTGTCACGTGACTATATAGCATTACCGGTGTCATCGGGGGTCACATGTGACCATGTTTGTATAAGATGGTCATACTGTGCATGCGGAAGAGTGATCATTCAGTGCTTTAAGCACAGTATCTGGCGGTCAGTAGGGATGAAACAGAACCTGCACACTCCAAAGTAAGACATTACCCACATCAGCATAATATGACGTACTGAATTTGATCTTCTTTAGCCTGCATAGTGGCTCTGTTTATTAGTTTGGCTGGGTTTCTGACTAATCTTCTATTGCATTTACTGTGTGCTCAGACATGATGCCACCTGTCGATCATTTTAGGTTTGCCATGGACCTTACCACAGGGCCGCGTTTCATTGGCTGATGCCCATTCTACATAGTAGCGCAGCTGCCACATGCGTGAACGTCTCACAAACACAAGCCAATAATGTACATGCGTTTGTAAACACACGCTAACGTAACCCCAAGCTTCGTTGCAGACCGGCAGAAAGTTTTCGCATCAACAATCGAAAAAGAATGGTTCTCCATTGCCAGTGGGGTATTTGCACTGGTGAATTCAGGTATCCTGATTGTATTTGTGGTACGATCAGGATGTCCAAAATCAGAAACAGAATGCCTTGCTTGGATCAAAGCTTGTGCACGACCTATGTAGGATCAACAACAATAAAGGAGTGTGTGCTGGTGTAAGTATTATTGATTTGCTTTCTTTCTGTCTGAAAAAAAGAAAATCGATAATAAACACACCCATCATGAACACCTTTTATCTAAGTACAGCATAACGTCAGTATGCAGTATACTAACTCTACACCTTGACACCAGTCTGCTACAGTCTTACGTTAGCTAAACAGATCAATATGCAATGTGTGCCTGACATACAGTAAAGATTTTATTTAGCGGAAAAGCTTTGGACTTAACTGTTACTCGTGTTAGCCACTCTAGTATTGAGTGCAGTGTATCAGGCCTGGGCACACTCAAACATTTGCCAACAAACAATCACCCACTGATTTCAAAAGTAACCTACAAAACGATGAATGCCCGACTTACCCAGCCTGGCAAGAACAATAAGCATCAGTGATCATGTCCACAGCGATATTGATGCTATGTTTTTCTCATCGACTGAAAGCATTTTCCTGTGAGGCATCACGTGGCTCAAACACCTTGATGTCATCCAAAAAAGATGACATGAATTGTTAGTTCCTCTGTCCAGTATTGTAGCTGATATTTGGTGAAAATCTGGCAGAAATTATGCAATAATCGACTCAGAAATACTGAGTCTATCAGTCCAAGGGGAAGACCCCATATTTACCCCCATGTTTACAGAGAAACAAAGCACCGCCAGGCTTTGTTTGTGAGACTTGAGGCCAGCTGAGATTTTCTAGGTCAGTTGTGGGCGGAGCTTGGTAAGCTCCATTAACTGACCAATCAGTGGTCGTAATTTCTCCCGATCAAGTTCATGCCCTCTATCCAGAGCAGGGGTGCTCAATATGTCGATCGACCGGTGGACTGCGGGAAGGTATTGAGTCGATCTCGGCAGCAGGTGACAAACTGAAGGCCACCAGGATGCTGAGACCAGAACTTCCTCTTCTGACTGGCTTATCAAAATATTCACTAAGATCCAAAATGTTTGTAGCTTCATTAAAGAGTAATAATAATAATACAAAAAAAATCAACAAAAAGTGTTAAATTAATAATCAGTAATTATTGTTTCAGCAAGGTGTTGCATAATTCAGTGCGTTTCGGTTCCATTAACAAATAAAAAGGGACTCATAGACTGACTGACTAGCAGAGCAGGAGTTTAAATTAGCTAATCAACCAAAGCTGTGTTCATGAGAGGCTCATTAATAATCGAGACATGAATATTAAACCTGGAAACCTGATATTGTAACAGATTGAATGTTATGTTTTTAATTATATGATATTTAAATCTGGAGAGACTCAGAGAGAGAAAAGGGAAACCATTAGAAGAGTTTATTGACATACAAATTAGAGTCTTTGGCGCTCGGGCCCCGGCTGAGGACATAAATTATCGCAAACTTTGCGATGGGCTTGGATGAGCATTCCATTTGCTGAGAGGAATGTTATCCCCGCGGGACGCGACACTAGTGGCGGAGGCGATGAAGGATGCGGCCGGATGGCTGAGCGAGTGGAGACGCCATGGATGATGGTCCTTATCAGCTGGGACTTGGGCGGTGATTGGACGTGATGCATCTTGGACCAGCGTTGATTAATCAACGGTGATGAGCATGCCACACCGGTTAGATGATCCAGGTGGGGTTAGAAGAGTCTTCCAGTTTGAATTTGCACCTAGGCTTCATGATACAATGATGTGTTCATTGCCACACATAAGTATAAGTTGCACCCCTGGACAAACTATGAAAAAAACTGACTTATGGTCCAGAAAATTTGAGCAAATTAGAAGTTATGTACGAAGTCACTCTACAGTGAATGAGCCAATTTCTATTATCAATTGCAATATATTGGGTTCCTCAAAGCTGTGTTCTTAGACCTTTTATTCCATTTGTAACTACAGTCAAATAGCATAATTGGATGGATGCTAATTTGCATATAATACTCTGATGTGTATGTATCCCAACAAAACCCATCAATCAGCTAGAAAATATTTATTCCTAATTTACTTTGTTCACCCAAAAAACAGTATGTTGTATATTTTTACACAAAGTTTGGGAATCTTTCAAAAAACCTTTTTCAAAATAATCTTTGACTTAAGATCAGATCCAGCTGGTTTTGTAATTCTTTTGGTGTGAGGTCACTGGTGTTTATCAGAATTACTCAGTGGTGGCTTCTCTGAGAACCTTCCTCATGGTTATTTTTTATCTACTGAACATTTAACTTCATGTTACATTTAACTTGTTTTTGTGAGTGGTCTGATGAGACATGCTTCCAGAAACATGAATAAACACAGCATACAGATAGCTTATGTGGACAATGAAACACTTTATTGTAACATTGAGATACTTTATTTGAAATCTAATTCCAGCGCTTTTCAAGAGATAGTTACATTTTGAGAGATTTTTTGACCTATAACAAATTCAGTGTAATAAATAGAACCAAACTACAAAATAATAGAAAGCTGAATGCTCAGCATTCGCTCACAAATGACATTGTAATTGTAATAATACAACACACACATTTGAGGTTGTAAGCAATAAATATTCAAGCTAAATAAATTAAATTCCACATAGTTTTGCATTTTGCACAACTGCAACTCTAGTCATTGGACTCCTCTTCTTATTTCATTGCCTGTGGAAAAAGGAATAAGAGATTAAAGAAATATGCAGAGAAAAACGTAAACTATTTTGGACGAAAAATATGCAAATATTACTGTTTGACATTTTACACAACTAACCCTAAAAAAAGTTAGTTTCCTGTTCATTTTATCATAGAGTCAAGATAAATATTTGTGCCAGTGTGGATTCATTGCTTGCAAGATCTGTTCAGGTGTGCAAAATGTGCACATGCACAATAAGTGGGTCAGTAGTGCTATTGTTGGGACACATAGGTGAATTTGCATGCTCTGATTTGTGGTTTCCCTTTACGCTGGAATGCATTGCATAGACGGCGCAGGCTGAGACACCCCATGCTAATGCAGACTAATTCCCCCAGCAGGGATGCCTCTTTGCATGATGCAACAGGCTGCATTTCAGAACAACAACAACAGTGTAAGGGTTCTCTCTGCCACCACTCCTTCCTGTTTGGCTTAAGGGTCACGTGAGAAGAGATTAAACAGACCTGGATACCTTTGAAGTGAATAGATCAGAGGAACATACTCGACAGCAAAAACAGGATGGCGTGATTACATACTCTTCATCCAGCGCTGCAAAATTGCCCAAGTGAATTGGACAGGATGAGTTTGGTAAAGGTCTGGTTTTATTTTTAAAACTCAGGAACAGAACTAAAGCTACATCACTTTCAGTTATTAAAAATATTTTAAAGCATCATCTACTTTAAATCAACAATTCATTGCTATCAAATAAATTTCCCAAAAGCTGTAAAACACTGCGATGCATCTTTGCATGCACACAAGTAGGCCAACACCAGAGTAACACCCACCTCTTTGTAACTTGATGCCCTCACATGACAACGTCACCCGCTGGTTTCTGGAATTTCTCCTGCTCTGACCCAGATCCAAGATAGGAGGCGAGGAAGTTTTTGTGTGACCTGTAACTGCAAAAGATATTCAAAATTAACATAAAAAATATTATAGGTGTTGAGATCAGAGAAATCCAGATATCAGCCGTTCTAAAATGCAGGCTACATGTCTTTGACCCCAAACCGATATTTATTTTCAGGTGTTCTGATCAAAAATGAAACGTATTTCTCAGAAATACATTCTGCTTTCTGTTTGAATCCTATCTGAGGAAGTTAATTATTTCCTTGTAAAGTATTTACTGCTCTGTTGTGTAATATCTTGGACAGCAGCCAGCCCAGTATTCATTAGATCATTTTTACTGGGTTGGATATCAATAAGAAACTCTAGGACCTATCACAAACTGACATGAAGCATAGTTAATCTGCATTTCAGCATGAATAATAATTGTTATGACATTAATTTATAGTGAAATTATAAATTTCACTGCAAGTCACAGAAGCTGAAAAAGTCAATCTGTGAAGGTTGGTGAGCAATCCCTGCACTGAGTGGGTGTGTTTGGGTGTGTTTGAGTGCTTTTTCATTCGGCACTATGTTAATACGCCAGGAAGTGTTTCTGGGCAGAATATCTGAATTGTAATGTGTGTTATGCTGGGATCCATGGGTGTGGATGGTAGTTAGTAATCTTCCCCTATTATAGTTTCGAGGGAGCAAAGAGTTTCTTTTTTGTTTGTTTGTTCCATGCTGGTGTCAGTCAAAAGTTATGTTTTGTCAAAAATGATAAAATAAAATAAAATGTTGCAGAAGCCAGTGATGGTGATCATGTTATCAGGTTTAGTTGTGTATCTTGACTGGAAATCTCTAAATAAGTGATCAAACATCAGCAAAAATGAAAACCAATAAGACTATGTCTGATTTGCATGACAAATCAACAATATAGCTCAACAGGTTCGTAGTGAATTAAACTATTTTTTTTTATTTTCCCTTGTTTTTATTAAATCCAGAGTTTGTTTTTTTTTTGAGAAAGTTATCACAATCAAAAGATGGTCATTTTAGAATCCTATTTTTTTTTCTCTCTAATATATTGTAACACACTTTTAACTTTTAAATCCCCAAACCTTTTAAATTAACTGACGAAACAAAAACTTTTGGACTCATGTCTTATCACTCTTTCTTTGCAATAAACTTTAAATTACCATCAGCTTTCTGGGTTTTTTTTTTCAAGGAAATGAACAGACTTGTACACGCTAGGGTCATGCACTGTCTTACAAACGATACTCTTGTGTAAATGACCATCCACTGAACTCTGGATGATGCATCCAAATGTGTCATTTGTCAGTGGGATTCTTCAGACTTACTGAGCACAGGTCATGAGCAGGATGGCACAGCAGCTGATGACTGACAGGACGACTGCAATGATCACCAGAACCGTGTGCACCAGATCCGTATTGTAGTTCTGAGTCGGGGGTGTGAATGACCCCAAAGTTTTGATGCCACAGCGCCTTCCACTGTAGCCCTTCATACAGCTGCAGAACAAAGACAACCAATCCACCATTGGATGCTTTTGAATCCTTGTTATGACAATTATTTATCTGAAACTTGCTTTGAGCTTCACTCACATGCACACTGGAACTTGCAGACTCTCTACGAACTTGCAGCGGCCGTGAATGCAGAAGCCCACGTGGGTGGAGGTGCAGGGGTCCTGAGTGGAGGTGTTAGTGGGGTTTGTGACGTTGCCGAACTGATTGTTGGTGGTGGGTCTGGGCTTTTTGTTCTTCTTCTTGCCTTTGCCCTTCCTCCTCTTCTTGCCTTTCTCTGCAACCACCTCTGTGAAGGGAAACATTTGAACAGAAAATTGTAAAATCGAACAGTGTCATTCAAAGGAAGAAACTGATTTATTGTTTCATACCATGGTTGAATGTGTATACTTGGCTTTGTCCTGACGGTTCTTGTACTCCCATTTCTCCCAGTTCATCATCGTCGTTCAGTGGTTGCTCGAGGAGCTCCCCATAGGCAGAATCGGCTACTTCACCTGAATATGTGTCGTCAGACCCCTGAGCACTCAGAGCGCTGCAGACGACTGCAAAACCACAGAAAGGCACACAAACACAAAGGTTAGATCAAAAAAAAGTAAAAAGACAACAAAAAAAAAACCCAGAAGAACCTTAAAAACACAAAACAACAAAACTGAAACATAACATAGCTACTTAACCAGAAAATGTGTTTCCAAAATGTAAAGAATAAATGCAAAACAAATTTTTTCCTGCTATTTAATTCCCTGTTTTTCTCCCCATAGAAAGTACCCCTGGCCCAATGTCCAGCTATGTCTCTTCACTTGTCTAACAGAAGGAGCAATTGCTGTCATTATTTCTGTGTCTAATAAAAGAATGACCCATAGCCAGAAGTGTTGCTGTAATTCCCTTTGTTCATTCTCAATTTTTGTCAATAGAAAGTTGTCCTGGCCCAGTGTGTCTTTGTTTACTTGTGTCCCATTCCAACATGGAGAAACTGATAGCGTTATTGTTGTTGCTAACTTTGTGCACTCTTCTTTTTTGTCTGTTCCTTAGACGAGACTTTTGTTTTGAGTGCTTTTGTTTTCTTTGTTGTTTATTATTGAATGTGTATCTCTTTTTTTATCTCTAATCACCTTTTCTGCCACAGAAGATTGTAGTTCAGACGGGAATGGTTCCTTTCTACTGTCCCCACATGCTTGCTCAGTATTTTATTTTCAGTGTCAGTGAGTCAACACAATAACTTTACATAACTAGCTAACTTATTACCAGCTGGTATTTTGTTTATCTGGATCTGAGTCTCACTGTGTCATTCCTAGACTTGAATTGAATTTTGCCTGAACTGAATTCAAGATGTGACCTGATTTTCTTGGAAAGGATATTTGTAAACTGGTGTCATAAAAATTGATCTGTACAACAAGGCAAAGAAGTTGACATTTAGAAATTGGATCAGGATCAAGAAAGTAACACCACATTAATTTTGATGGAGTTTTGCTTTCCTTATTCTGTCAACTGTAATTGTAGTCACTAGTATTTGGTGTGACAAAGTGAGAAGGAAACGTTTACATTATAAAATGTGCGCTTTTCAGGAAATACTATATCTTGAGAACTTAGTTAAAAAAAATCAAAGTTCACCAGAATAATAGCAGTCCTATCAAATATAATCAATAATCAATAAATATTAATATGACAGTGAATGGTTCTCTACAAAAAGAAACCAGAAATATTTCTAATAATGCAAAAAAAATTTTATATGTCTGTATTGAAAAATAAACATTTTGTATGTTTAAAAACATTTAATAAATAAGGACAATGTGTCCTATGACATTCTTAAATCGTTATTTTTGGTTGGACGGTGACATAATTAGACCCAAAAGTTTATTTTACAAACTTTTTTTCTTTTTACCTAAAAGACCTGAAATTCTCTATTCCTCCCTAACAAGTCATCACTCGAAGATTCACATTTTTTCTCTCACCCGCATGCTCCTTACATATTCCTAGTTTAACTTCTGGCACACAGAATTAAAGTACAAGTCCAGACTTACCGATGCACAGCAGAGAAATGATGATGAGAGTGTTCATATCCCAGGAAGGTGGTGTGTTGCGTATGACAGTCCTGGACTAATCTGTGCCTGACTGTGCGCGTGTGTGTGTATGTGTGAGTGTTGGAAATAAGTCGCTTGCAGATGGAGTTTGCTCTCTTTGCTTCCACTAGGTGCAGCTTTTATAGACCAACGCCTGCCACAAAACTCCGGGGGGAAAAGAAGGGTGTGAGTGTGTGTGACACGAAAAGAAATGTGTGTGTGTGTGTGTGTTTAATGATCAACTTGCCCTTGGTAGCACATTTTTACACCAAATGTCCTGAAATAGGACTGGGAATAATTAGACCAAATGAGGCCAGGACAAATTAAACAGATGGATGTATTCTGGCTCTATTCTGGTCACCATTAGAAAACAGAAATGCTTGTTACTGGATTGGTCCATGTTGGTCAATTTCTTTCCACATGTCTCTAATCATTAAACTGCCTTAATTATACTTCCTGTTTAGTAGCCACAGTATGATGAAAAAAGATTTGTCTTTTTATTTTTGTCACACCTAAATGTTTGAGATCAACAAATAAAATCATATAACCAGACAAAAGTAACAAACAAAAAGCACTTTTAAAATGTCAAGTTAATTTGATAACAGAATTTTCAAAAATAATTGTGGGTTCAACTTTGGTTACAGAAATGTTTCAATTCAAGCTGGTGGATTTTTTCAATACGAAGGGCATATAACCTCAAATGGACTTAAAGCTGGACTTCGGCAGAATATTCTGCCTAAAAAGATCTCTCTTTATTTTTATTTTTCTGTTTTGAAACAGGAAGCAAACCACCAGAGTAGTTTCACTTTTCTCTGCTCAGTCATCAGATTTTTTTCTTAAACGTCCTCATTTTCTCCACTTTTGGTTCTCACTGGGTTTCATTGGAGCCTCAAAGCCATAAAAAACTGAGTTGTAACCCTTCCCAGATTGATCAATGTCTGTTACTTTGTTTTTTTTTTATCTGTTCAATAATTTCTTTAAATCAGGGGATAATGTGTAACTTTTTAGCCTATTTTATGATTCCAGTAGGTTCTGTTTAAGATTACCTAACTGTATTTATTTTAAAAGTCCATTTTACAGCAGCTTTTTGCATTTACACAGGAAATTCAAGTGTGTTTTGATGATTTGAAACGTTTAACTGTGACAAAAAGCAGCAGGGAATCTGTCCTTAAGAGTGCAAATACTATTTTTGCAAGAAACTCCTCACGGTGGCAAAATTCTGCTTTTGTATTCGAGGGATGGAGACATTAATCAAACAGTAATGAGAAAACACAAAATCACACAAACAACATTTTATTTGACAATAAGGATGCGTCCACATGTTTGTTTTAGTGATCGTCTGTAACCCAGAGACATGATTGAAGTTTGTACAGGATTCAAAGTGATCGTAAAACAAGAAGAATCATAAAATACGTTTTATGATTGGGTGTGTGACAGTGTGAAACCATATGAAAAGAAGAATTTCCAATTTACCGGGAGTCTACTCTGAAGAGGATTGAGTGCAAAAGCTAAAATTAATCTGGAATAACAGTTTAACACACTTGTATAATTTTGTAATTTGTAAAATATGCAATTAAAAGCTAAACTTCACTCCGTTGAGTAGAGTAAGTATTCCACCAAGAACTCCTATATTAAATCAAGATTAAAGTCCAAAGACAAATTCAGGGATTAATTTGTACATTGGTCCAATTACATTAGCCTGTGAAAAACCACCTTCTGAGTCGTTATCAGATGAAAATGATATTATAGTTTCATAGGTGAGTCCTTTGCGTGCCAGTCCAATTTTATGATTGCAAAGGATTGATAATTGGCTTCATGTGCAAATATGGTTAAATGGTGAGAAGTTGTCTAAAAATAGTGACGTGGCATAAAGCAGTAATGTGGTAACAAATCATGACAGACATTATACGGTGTATAATTAAAGTATTATGATTTTTTTTTTTCTATGTAACACATTTTTTACACAATGTGTCTCCTCGGATTCTTTACTAAAAATTTCCATGAGTTTTGCGTCGTTCCGCCTAGAGTCCTCTGGTGTTATTGTGTGTGAATTTTCTGTGTGTGGGTTTTATAAAAGGATGCTTACTGTTGCTATTTTAGTACTTGGTAACCAAGAGGACACCTTGAGGCTTGGGTGGGGAAGCTGCTCAGATGTTTGTGTTGCTCATGTTGTTGTGTCTGTCGAGAGAGGCTGTCCCGCCACACGTGCTGTGGTGGAATCCCATAGTAACCGCTCAGAATGCTAGAAACCTCTCTGTCTTCATTCCACGGCCCAGGATCTTCCTGAGACGTTTTGTTTATAATGGCCGTGGAATTAGATTGTTTGGATTAGGTGTAAGAATGGCACTGTAGCTATTAGGTATGAATGTGTGGAAAGTCTGAGCCAAGGCTGAAGAGAAGGGCCTTGTAACAGCCACCCACTGTAAACACACAGCTGCCTAGTTAACAGCCGAAAGGTGAAAACATTAATTATTCGTAAATTATTTGTTTTCAAAAACACTCACGAACTTTGGTGGAAACGTTCAAGAAGAAGCAGATCTGCAGGAACAAAGATACTTAGGAAAGCACTACTAAATGAAATAATAAAAAAAAAGATTAACTCAAAAGTCAAAATCTAAATACATTTTATTAATTCAAAAAGACTTCATCAATCCCAGAGGCAAAAATTTTCCAAAAAGAAAATATTGCTTTTAGCAAAGTCTGGACTTTCTCCTATTAACTTTGATTGTTTGGAGTTGATTTTTGCCAATCGGCAAAAAGAAGAAGAAGTTGTGAGCTATGGCGTTGGTTTACTGCACCGTTTTAGCAAATGTAGCAGAGCAGAGGACGTGAACGAAGCCGTTCAGTCAGTGTTGGTCAAATATTGAATCAACATTGACAGCCTCTTCATTTGGCTCAGCACTCATCCATTCACAGTGGAGGATGGATGTCTATTAAGTAAGAGTCTTGAGGCCAACCAGACATACGTAACAAGCAAACATTAGCCATTGGGTAAAATTTAAAACTTCAACACAGTCCATACATCCTGGAAACAACCCAGACCCTCTAGATGAAGAAGATTGGGGAAAGACAAAGGGATGCTTTTCAACAGGCTATTTTTGCACAAAATCTCCAGAGGTTGCCCTTTTGCTGAAAATGTGCTACACAAATAAACTTCTCTTGCCTATGCTCTTCCACCACCTCAACTTCTTCTCCTATGATGAAAATAATTTTCGATCTTACTCTGTTTTGTTCACATTAAGGATGAGATGACTGGCCCAATAGCATGCCACAAAATAGTCTACCATAATCTGTAATCCATCATCTCTAATATTCAGAGGGAAAATGACAAATAATTTTTCCAGATAACAAGACAGTAAAAAATTAGTAAACAACCCGCGAAACAATCACAAAAATTTGATTAGATAGAAATTAAACAATGTTAGCAGCTAAGTCCATACTGTTACAAGCAAACATGATTTTGATTGGCTCCCAGTCTTAGTTTTAACATGGTGAAGTGTAATTATATGGTAATAAAGCACTGGAAGTCAAGACAAGACAATGGCTATATATTAGGAATTTTGTAAAAATATAGCTCAGACTTTCGAAATAACTTTTGTTTTATGTTAAGATTAATTTATTTTTGATTGAAATTCTATTAATTACTTTTTTATTGTATTGTGATGCTTTTCTATGCTTTACTATCAATGTCTGTAGGAAAATGCTATGCAAATATTACAACATACGTTCAAGAAAAGCGTAAATAATTTCATAATTACAACAGAGGGAAAGTTGTGACGCCAAACTCAGTATGTTCGATTCTCAGGAAACAAAAATATCTGGACAAAGTTTTGTTACAGTGCACGACACTGATGCTCTGGATTAATAGGAAGTCAGACTTGCTGACCGCAGAAGTGAAAAATACTGTGAATGAATCTGGAATGCTTGTGATTGTTTAGGTCGTTGCTTTGGACAACGGTGCTTAAAATATCATGCTTTGCTCTCAGGCTGCTTAAGAGAAATAATAAAAGAAATGCCATGAAGTCAACATGAACCAGTTTTGAGCTGCAAAACAATTGCATCCGTGCTACACGTGGAGGGATTTGTTTTGTCAAAGGACACGCAAGGATGCAGTTTAATGGGGCTTCCCTTCCACCAACAACATTACTCATTGTATGAACAACCTACTATTACTTATGCAATAATTTGGTAAGAACAAGTTCTGATTTCTGGAATGCGTTGATCCACAAGTTTTATATTTAGAACAAAACGGAAGCCACCAAGTGGGTGTGTTTGTGGGTCTTAGTGTGTTAGTGCATGCTGATGTTTTTAAGTATGTCTTAACACAGAAGTCCAGTTAATGTTTATGTGTCACCACTGCAAGTCATTTGCATAGAGAACATATGAAGAGGCTTAAGTCGAGTGTTAATTGTGGCTCATTGACTTTGGAACAGGCACTAATCGACGTGCAGAGAATTAAATCTTGCCATTGATTAACTAATACTGCAACTCTGGACGGTACATGTTAGATCACAAATGTTTTGTGAGCAAACTTACTCATAGTTTAGATTCTAAACTTTAGATTTTACCCTGCTTTCTGAAACCAAAGCAAAACAACTTTAACTACTAGCATGGCTCTGATCGACTTTACAGACATAGTTTTCAGTCAAAAAATGTGGGAAGACAACAAGTCGCTTGGTATTGATTTGATTTACAAGGTGGTTTTATTTTAACTCTCATGTAGTTGCATTAAAAATACAAACGTACAAAACTATGCAATACTACTTTATTGAAATAATTTGTCTACATCCAGAAGCTTGGAGTTGTTGAGGAGAGCTTGAGATTGTAATTTCAAACTTATGAAATTGCCTAATTCAGAACTTTCAGTTCTTCCCAATCCAAGATGGATTGAGGACATACATGTATAAAATTGTCCATGGTTTCACAACTAACTTTTTGCATTCCCATGTGTACATTTAGAAGTAGCGTAAACTCCAGATCTCAGATCTGACCCTGAAAAGATGCGGTTATGAGGCAATAGTGCAAAAAAGAAGATAATAAAGAAGGCAGGATGTTGAGCGGGACACTGCCTCTGGGGTATTAGCAGCTGGTCTGCACATGGGCTGTCATTGGTATTGTCTTGCTTTC